GGAGCCACCGGTGCGCAACCGACCGCACCACAACCGAGACGGCAAGGGGGCAAGCCTGACGACGCCTGCCACCCCCCCCCCCTCCTCCGTGGGCCTAGCGCGCCCCGCGCGACAGCCCGGCCGCGTGCAGCCTCTGGGGCTGCTCCTCCTCCCGCGCCACGCTCGCCTCCTTGGGCTTCTCCGCCTTCCGCCGGTTCTTGCGCTGCTTCTCGCTCAGCCCGCCCGGGGGGCCCGACGACCACGCGCTGGCGGCGGGCTGCGCCGCCCGCGACGCCGACGGCTTGGGTGCCGTGACCGTCGTCCAGCCTCCGCCGAGCGAGGGCGCGCCCGCCACGTGCAGCGGCGTGCTGCCCGGTGCGCCGTACTGGCGCACCGCCTGCATGTAGTTTTGGCGGCGCGCCTCCTGCTCGCGCTCCCTCGCCGCCTCGCCGAGCGGGCCGCCGCCGTCCTCGCCGCTCTCGCTCGACGACTCGAGTTCCTCCGCCGCGGCCTCCGCCGCGCCGGACCCGGCGAGCGCCTCCGCACGCGGCTTGTCTGCAGGCGGCTTGCCGCTCGGCGGCGGCGCCTTGCCCTTCTTCGCGCGCCGCTTGCCGCCTCCGGCGAGGCTGTCGGCGAGCCCCGCGACGGCCTGCAGCTCGGCCAGGTGGCACGCCAGCCTCCCCTCCGCGGCGCGGGCAACCCGCGCCGCCGCCTCGGCCGGCTCGTACACCCCGGCGGTCGCGAGGTAGGCGGCGGCGACGGCGGCGGCGACGGCGCCAGTCTCGCAGTACGCAAGCAGCAGCAGCGGCTTTGGCCCGCCGCCGCCCATCCGCCGCCGCACCTCGTCGACGGCGTCCACCACGTAGACCTGCCCCGACGGCATGGCCACCGACTCGAGGCCGAGCTCCGCCGCAAGCGAGTCCCAGCCTCGCCACGAGCGGCAGAGGTTGAGCAGCAAGACGCGCCTCCCCTCGGCGGCCTGGAGCCGCGCGAGGCCCCGCAGCCGCGCGGGAGAGAGCTGCCCGCTCGCCACCAGGGTGTTGCCGCCTCCGCTGCGGTGCATCTCCACCCCCTCGCTCCCGTGCGCCGCCCACCGAAGCAGGGTCTCCGCGACGAGGACAAACTCGCGGGCGAGCCTGACCACCGACTCCTCGTCCCGCGCAGCCGCGTCGCGGCCGAGCGTGAGGTAGCGCGTGCCGGCGGCAGCGAGCACGAGCGCAACGGTCGCCACGAGCCAGCGAGGCGCGGGCAAGAGGCCCAGGGCCAGCGCCGGCAGCGCGGGCAGCGCGATTGCACAGCAGAGAGCGCCGGAGACGGCGACCGCGGGTCCGAGCGCCGCGAGGGCGAGCGCGTCGGCGACGAGCAGGCGGCGCGCCGCGGGAGTGCTGGGCATGTTGCGTCGCTCGAAGGAAGCCGTGGCCGCCGTGCCGCTGCGTGCGCTTCTTAGCTCCCCTAAGCGTGAGACTGCCACCTCTAAGCAACTCGGTTGAGAAATAAGAAAACGACGCCGAAGTACTCCAACTTAGATAGACCTGTCCTTCTCCCACACCTCGTTTGGCGTGCCCGTTTTATTTATTTATTTATTAGATAGACCATCCCTCCCTTGGCCTGTCTGGTTTCTTTCTGTCTTTCTTTCCAACTTAGATAGAAAGAGGCAGACGACAAAACAAACAAACAAACAAACACCACAAAACAAACACAACAAACAACCAAGCAAGGGTTAGGGTGGGCGACGGCTAGCACCAGTGTGGTGGTGGCGGCGTGCCGTCCTCCCATCCCTCCCTTTGGTGGTTTTTCTTTCTTTTTCTTTGCTCCAAACAACTCTAACACTCACACGTCATTTGGGGGGCCTGGAGCCCTGTTCACGCGCGCGCGAGACGTGCAGACAGGGTTGCCAGGTGAGAGCGAATGGCGCGGTTCACGCCTCGCACAACAGAGAGAGATGCGCTCTGCATGGTGGGACATAAAAGAAAGCGAGCACTCGGGCGAGAGTAGGCCGTGCGGTCGACGCTGCCGCGCGCGGCTTTGCGCGCGAGGCGGCGCAGCTTGAGAACGGCGGTGGGCGAGAAGCCGCCGCCGAACGTCTCGTGGAGCAGCAGGTTGAAGTTGTTGCGCTTGACAAAGATCGCGTCGTGGTAGAAACCGCGATGCGCGCCTTGTCCGCCTCGTTGTATGACGTAGCCGTTGCGCGTTGCTCCAACTTGGTCACCGTCCAACTTTGCGCAAGTCTTGCCCGGCCGGCCAACCGTCGCTCTCGTTTCTTATTATTATCCAAGCACAACGGGGGTATATAACAGAGAGAGAGAGAGAAAGAGAGCGAGAGCGATAGAGAGAGACCATGAGCGCGCGCGGCGAGGGGCAGCTGCAGACGCATGAGTGTGTGTATAAGACCGGGAGGCGGAGCCTGCCGCCGGCGCTATGCCAGCGAGAGGCCACCACAGCAGAGATAGCAGAGACTCGGCCACACCGTTTCTGCCACACGCACCTCCGCGCGGCTTCACGCCTCCAAACGGCCACCCGATGGCGCGCAGAGAGGCTGGAGCCGGGCGAGGCGTGGTGAGGGGAGGGCGAGCTCAGTTGTGTGTGTGCCCGAGCGGCCCAAACTGGTCGAAGATGGGCTGCCAGCGCTCTCGGTCGAAGGGGCGGTCGAGGGTGACGGAGGGGTCGACCCGCTCCGACACGTCGGGCAGCTGGTGGTCGCGCGGCGGCGCGTACGGCGGCGGCAGCTCGCGCCTGAGTAGCGCGACCCAGTCGAAGCCCGCGAACCACTCGTGCTCCTGGACGGCGCGGAAAGACTCGGTGCCGATGCGAGCAGTCTCCTCCCAGTGCAGCAGCCCCGCGATCAGGTCCGCCGCCGGACGGCTCGTGCGGCCGTCGCCGCGCAGCTTCTGGTGCAGCGCGCCGTGCGTCTCGGCCTTGCCCTCCGCGTACCGCTGCACCGACTTGAGCACCTCGCGCGAGTCGGCGCCTACCGTCGCGGAGCGCTCTCGGGTCGGCCGTGGCCCTCTCGGACTGGAGCGGCCGCGCGAGTCTCGCGCCGGTGAAGGGCGGCTCGCCGACAACCATCTCGTGCAGGAGGACGCCGCAGCCCCACCAGTCGGCCGCCTTGGTGCGGCCGTGGCCCCGAACCAGCTCGGGCGGCGTGTACGTGTCCGTCCCGAGCGTCGAGTACGTGCGCGTCTGGTAGATGCGCTTTGCGTAGCCGAGGTCTGCGATCCGCGCGTACCTAGCGTCAGGGTCAGGGTTAGGCGTCAGGGTTAGCTCTGCGTGGCCCAGGTCTGCGACCCCCGCGCGAACCCCTTTGCGTCAATCAGCACGTTCTCGGGCTTGAGGTCGCGGTAGACGAAGCCCTGGCAGTGCATGTGCTGGATGCCGAGCGAGACCGCGCCCAGGTAGTGCCTCGCCCACGGCTCGGGCAGCGAGCCCCCCTGCCGCTCGATGATGTCGAACAGGTCGCCTCCCTCGGCCAGCTCGAGCACAAAGTAGAGGCAGTCGGCGTCCTGGAAGGTGGTGAAGAGGCGGCAGATGAAGGGGTGGCGCAGCTCGTCGTGCGCAACCTTCTCGAGCAGCACCCGCTCCGCCAGGTTGAGCGCCGCCACGAAGCCCTTCCGCAGCTGCTTCAGCGCAAACACGCGTTTGGTCCGCACGTCCGTCACCTTGTAAACGCACGAGTAGCCGCCCTCGCCGACGATCCGGTCCTTTCGCAGCTCGTGCGGCCGCGGCTGCTCCTCCGAGTCGCGCCACGCCGCGTTGCACTCCTCCGCAATCGTCTTGGAGGCCTCCTCCAGCGCATTCGGCTGCTCCTCGCCGACCATGTCGAGCTTGGACATGGCATTGGCGACCTGGTCGGCCAAGGTGAGGCCGGAGAAGGTGCGTCTCATGCCGCCTCGCGACATGCAGCCCGGAGTCGATGTGCGGCGTCGATGGCGGGAGTTGCTGGTGTCGCAGCGTCGGTCAGCGTCGGAGGGGGAGCTCGGTCACAGGCTTCGATTAGTCGCGACAGGAGCTGTGAAGATTCAGCCGCCGCGGGAATTTCTTCGCTTTGGTGACGACGACGGGGAGTTCTGGAGTCGAGCCACACGAACTAATGGCCTCCCAACCTTGGGCTTGATGTTCATGCGCCGCGGGGCGCAACGCCACCATCACCACCCTTGCCGCCGCCGCCCTTGCCGCCGGCGCCACCCTCGCCGCCGCCGCCCTCGCCATAATCACCACCCTCGCCGCCGCCGCCCTCGCCGCCGCCGCCCTCGCCACCCCCCTCACCGCCGCCCCGGCGCCACCGGCACCGCCACCTTGTCAACAGTGGTCCACCTTCTCCTCTTCCGAGGAGAGAGAGAGAGAGAGAGAGAGAGAGAGAGAGAGAGAGGGAGAGAGAGAGAGAGAGAGAGAGAGAGAGAGAGAGAGAGAGAGAGAGAGAGAGAGAGAGAGAGAGAGAGAGAGAGAGAGAGAGAGAGAGAGAGAGAGAGAGAGAGAGAGAGAGAGAGAGAGAGAGAGATTCCTCTTCTTCTTCCCGATGTTGAAAAAAAAAGACCGCACCCCACCGCGTTCTTTTGTATAAAAGGAAGAAATCTTCCTCGCAAACCTTGTCAGCTGTCCACCTCTCTCAATACGTAACAAGAGGGGGAAAAGAAAACCGCGGAATCGCTCGCCCCGCTCGCTCGCCCCGCTCGCTTCTCCGCCCCTGCTCGCTTCCCGCCACCCGCTCGCCACCCCACCGCGATGCGAGCCCTGCCGATCGTCGAGGTCGAGGAGGAGGACGAGCCCCGGCTGCCCGCCTCGCCTCGGCGGCCTGGGTCGACCGCCTCTGCTCCTGCGCCTCCGCCTGCTGCGCCGTCGCAGTGCGCCGCGCCGCAGTGCACGCGCCGGTCGCGGCACCGCTGCGCCGCGCGGTGGAGGAGCAGCCGCACGCAGCCGCCCGGCTGCGCCTTCCCGTGGGACGTCGGCCGGCTGCTCGCGAGGGCGGGTCCCGCCGAGCCGCTGCCGATGGGCGGCGCGCTGCTTCGCTCGGCGCTTGAGCCCGCCGAGGCGCGGTGGCTCTGCCGGGAGATGACCCGGCTCAGCAGGACGCGGGCGGGCGGGCCGCTGCTCGCCGCGGGCGGCGGGCTCGGCAACCGGCCGCGGGAGATGCTCTCGTGGTGCCACCCCTTCTCGCGGCTGTCGAGCTGCGGCGAGAGGCCGACGCGCCTGCTCCGGTGGAGCGAGGAGCTGCTGCACGCCCTCGCGCCCGGCGCCGCGGCCGCCGGCGTCCGAGTCGACTCGCTGCTCGTGCAGGTCTACGCGGCGGGAGGCTCGCTGCTGCCGCACACCGACGCCGACCTCTCCTGGGGGCTCGGCGTCTCGCTCGGCGCAGAGGCCGTCTTCGAGTGCCTGCCGCGCGGCGACGGCGCGGTGCCGCAGACGATCCGGCTGCGGTCGGGCGACATCGTCGCCGGCGAGTGGGGCGCGCTGAGGCACGCGGTCCGGGTGCCGCGCGCGGCGGCGGCGCCGGAGTGGTGGGACGGCGAGGCCTTTGGGTGCGCGGCGGTGCGCTGCAGCCTGCTCGCCCGGCAGGCGCTGACGGCCGAGGAGCAGCGCGCGCTGGGGGAGGGCCGGGCGAGGCGGCTGTACGGCATCGGGCTCGAGGAGCTGGCCCGCAGGACTGGCGAGGAGGTGCCTTCCCTCTGCCTGCGGCTGCGGCACGAGGCGGCGGAGTAGCGCCGGCGCGACCTGTTGTGGAATGAATGTTTAAGTGAATAAATAGAGCCGGCACCTTGTGGAGTGCGCTTGGAGAACTTGGATGCGGTTGGTAACCTCACATCCAGAGGGCCGAGCTTTATAAGCACACTCCGCCGCGCATTTCTTTCCCCTTATATTCTCATGTTTGGAGCACTATCTTGGAGTGCAGTCGCGAGTCGGTAACCTCACATCCAGGGCCGGGGAGCTAAGAAGCGCACCCAGCGGGCCGGATGATCGGTATCGGGTTGCGGGCTAGAGAGCCCTAGCCCTTGCGCGTTCGCAGGGAAAGGGCCTTAAAGTAAACACGTTTCTCCGAGGGTTAGCTCCGCGCTCCAGGTTTCCCCTAGCAGCAGACCGCCCCCTCTACTCGGAACTATAATAGACACCAGACACGAATCATTTTTCTTTTTATCGCGTGGACTTCAACGCTGGATACACAACCCCCACAGTCTGCCACAGTCTCTGCCGAGCACCGCCGCAGTCTCTGCCGAGCGATATGCTGGACAAGGAGAACCGCTCCGCCAACCCGGCGGCTCAAGACGTCGGCTTCTTTGAGGTGGCGCGCCTGCTGGACCGCCTCGAAGGCATCTCCGGCGCGCAGGCACGCACGCGCTGCGTAAGCCGCTGGTTCGACGCCTCCGCCGAGCGGCGGGCCAGCACCTTGCCACTCTTCCGCGTGCTGCTCGTCGCCGAGACGGACCGCGCTTTCTACGTCAAGGAGGAGCGGCTCGCCGCGCTGACGGCGACCGCGTTGGGCATCGCGACCGACAGCGCGTGCGGGAGGCGGCTCCAGGGCTGGCTCGACCCGGCCCGCTCCGGCGGCGGGGACGCGATGCACGCGACGGCCGGCAACTTGTCCGCAGTGGTCGAGTCCGTCGTGGCGCTTCGTGCGCCGGCGCGGGCTGGCGGCGTGGCCGGCAGGCCGCTCGCGATCCGAGAGGTCGACGCGGCGATGGATGTCCTCGCCGCCGGCGCGCCCGAGTTCCACGCCGGGCGCGGAGCTAGGAGCGGTCCGCACGCGGCCGTGCTGCACGGGCTGCTCTCGCGCTGCTCGCCGGTCGAGGCAAAGTGGCTCACGCGGCTGCTGCTGCGCGACCTGCAGATCCGCTCGCCCTGCGCCGACGTGCGGGTCGAGTGGCCTCGCAGCCTGATGGACGGCTTCCTGCCGCACCAAGGACCCGGCCGACCTGGCTTCTACTCCTACTGGCTGCGGCGCGGCGACTTGGGCGAGGCGTGCGGGCGTGCGGAGCTGGCCCGTGCGATGCTGGACGCGCAGTCCCTCGGTGGCGCCTGCGGGCCGAGCTGCGTCGCGGCAGAGTGGCCGCTCCTGCGAGGGCTGTCCCACGGCTCGTACGTGCACGTCGCCCTCAGCCACCCGGTCACGAGCCTCTCGCGCATGCGGAAGGAGCTTCTCGGAGACGGAGGGGCGGGCGAGCTGGTCGTGCAGACAAAGTACGACGGCGAGCGCATCCAGCTCCACGTCTGGCAGGACCCGGCGGCGCCGGGAGGACGCGCCGTCCGCATCTTCAGCCGCGGCGGGCGCGACTCGACCGGCCGGAGGGCGCTCGCCGTCGACGCGCTGCGCCTCTCCCTCGGCGCCGATGCCGCTCCGCCGGCGGGCGCTAGCCAGCACCTGCTCGCGGCGTGGCGGGGCGCAGAGGCGGCGGGCCGCAAGCCGGCGGTCCGCTCGGCGATCCTCGACGGCGAGATCCTCGTCTTCAACGAGAGGGTGCGGCGGGTGGAGGCGTTCGGGACGGTGCAGCACCTCCGGCCGGGCGGGAAGGCGGGCTGCGACGGCTCGCGCCACCTCTGCGTCGTCTGGCGCGGGCGAACTCGCGACGGAGCCGCCTCGAGGACAGCCGCTCTGACCGCGCCGCCCCCGCCGCCGCTTAGGTTCGACGCGCTCGAGCTAAACGGCGACGACCTCGTCAGCCGCCGCGCGCCGCTCGTGGAGCGCCTCGAGCGCCTCTCCGCTGCCGTCACGCCGCTGGACGGCTTTGTGCACGTGGCGCCGTCAGAGCTGGTGCGTGCTGCCGACGTGCCGCGCCTGGGAGAGCTCTGGGCGGCGGCACGGGAGGCGCGCGAGGAGGGGCTCGTGCTCAAGGCGGCGCTCTCACCCTACACTCCCAATCAGCGCGGCTGCTGGGGGAAGCTCAAGCACGACCGAGTAGACGGGCTCGGCGACACCATCACAGCGGCGCTGGTGGCGGCGCGGTGGGGCGCCAACGACCGCTCGGGCCGGCTCGGCGCCTACGGCTTCGGCGCGGTGCTCAACCCGACCGAGGTGCGGGTATCGGGCGCCGCTCCGCGCTTCGTCTTTCTCTTTTGGTCGGAGTGCGGCCTCGACAGCCTCGAGACGAAGCTGCTCGGCGCCGGGGGTCGCTCGGTAAGGAGCTCGCCCGTCTCGTCTGGCGACGTGTGCCCTCCTGGCCGTAGGAGCGGCGCTTCTCGGCGAGCCGGGCATCTCTCCGCCGCGCATGGCCCCGCTGCCCCGCGGCTCGGCGCCAGAGTGGCTGAGCGGTTTGCCGCGCGGCGAGGCCGACCGACCGCACTTCGTGCTCCGCTCGCCCGCCGACGCCATCCCCACCGAGCTCCTCGGCTCTGACTTTGTCCCCTCGCGGGGCCCGCCCGCCAACTTTCGACTCGAGCTCCGCTTCCCGCGCATCCGCTGCGTCCGCCCCTCCGATCCCCTCTCCTCGGTCCTCTCGGCCGCCGAATACGACGCGGCTGGCCGCGCGGCGAGGGCGCCGCCCTCCGAGGCGCAGGTGCGGGAGGCAGTCGAGCGAGTGTGCGCGCCGCCGCCCCCCACCAAGCGCCGCTGCCGTATCGACGGCTCGCTCTTCTCGAAGCGGCAAGCCGCCGCGAGAGAGCCTGCTCCGGCGGAGCTTGCGCCGGTGGCGCAGAGCTCTCAGGAGTCGACGACGCAGGAGTCGACGACGCAAGAGTCAACCTCGCAGGAGAGCTCCGCTTCGTGTCCTCCCGCGGGGCCAGCGGAGCCGCACCCCCTGCCACCGCCCCGACCACCCACGCCTTCGCCTCCGCCACTAGCTCCGCAGCCATCACGGGAACTGCTTTCAAAAGCGTCGCCAGTAGAACAGCCGCCGACTTCGCCTGCCTTTCCTCGAGGCGGTCTGAGGGCGCGAGCCGCGCCGCACTTGCCACCGGCAGCGACTGCAAGCCCGCCGGGCGACGACCTTGCCGCAGTCTTCCGCGCAGAGGAGGTGAAAATCAAGGCCTGGCATCGACAGTTGCGGCGCGAGGCGTTCCCACCTCCTCCAAAGGCCTTGCGCCGGGCCCTTCGTGCTCGCGACCGTCTGCGCCGCCAGACATAGAGAATGCGCCGCGCGACTGGCGTGTTTGTGTCGGGTGTCGCGGAGCTCTCCGCGCCGCCCGCCGCGGGGGATCTGTGGGCAACACTTTGCGCGCACTCAGCTGTGAGATGTCCCAAGAACCTCTCTGGGACTGTCCTGGAGACGCTAGTATGTACTAAAACTTCGACTCACACCCTACTAGCGTCTCCCAAGAACATGTCCCCACACCCTAGAGTATGCCCCCCCTACGAGCTATCTCCCTGTTTGACTATTTCTTGGTCGTGTCGGACGCCCGCTGTGTCGAGTCTCAGCTCACCACGTCAGCTGAAACCCGTCCGCAGCAGCGACGGTGGCCGCCTCGAGCCGCAAAGCGTGGACGGCTGCGACGAGGCTGTCGGCGGCGGCGTCATTCACCAGCCACTCGCCGTGGCCCATGCCCTCCATCGAGAGCACGCGCACGCCTCGTCGCCGCGCCCTCCACGACCCGAAGCCGTCGCTCGCTGCGCGCGGGTTGATGATTGTGTCCAGAGTGCCGACGGCGATGAGCGCCGGCGTCTGCGCCTCGCAGTCGTCGAGCCAGAAGGAGGCCTCGTACCACGGCAGCTGGCGCGCCACCAGCGCCGCCGTCCACAGCTCCTTCTTGAAGAGGAAGTCCTCGAAGGAGGCCTGCGCCGAGTCGAGGCGCGTGAAGATGACCTCGCGCGTCGTGCGCGAGTGGTGCAAGTTGACGGCGATCGGGTCGATGAGCACCACCCCGCCGACGCGCCGCGCGCCACCCTCGTTCTCGCGCGCGTCGTGGTGCGCCACGTAAGTCGCGTAGGCGGAGCCGAGGGAGTGGCCTACCACCACGGCGCGCGCGAGGCCGAGCGAGTCGAGCGCGCGCTCGACGGTGGCTCCAAAGTCGGCGGGCGCGGGAGGCGAGCGCGAGAAGGGCCGCTGGCTCGCGGCGGGCAGCTCGACCATCAGGATGTCCGCCTCGTCCTCGCCGAGCGCGGCGTCGGCCTCGCCCATCCGCGAGACGCGCCGGACGTACGGGGCGACGCCTATAGGAAGGTCCCAGGAAAGGTCTAGGAAAGGTCTTCCTCCACTGTTGTTCGCCGGACGTACGGGGCGACGCCGAAGCCGATGCCGTGGATGAAGACGAGCGCGTCGGGCGCCGAGGCGCTGAGGGCGGAGGGGGCGGCCGAGGCGGGGCCCTTCTCGACGCGCGCCCCTCGCCTGTGCCAGTACGAGAGGGCGCCCTCCCTGCGCCGCACGAAGCCGTGGCGGCGCATCCGCAGCGGCGTGAGCCCGTGCGCCACGAGGAGCGTGACAAAGTAAAAGAGGAGCGGCCGGTGCCGCCACCGCAGCGGGTCCATCGGCGCGCACATGGAAGAGACGCGCAGCTGGCGAGACGCGCGCCACGCCCTCGCCGCGGAGCCGAGCCGAGCCGACGCGGAGCCGAGCCAGCGGGACGGAGACGCGGCCACGTACACGAACGGACGCAGCAATCGCCGGGCGGCGGATGCCGGGGCGGGCGGCGGCGCCACCGGCGCCGCGAGTGTGGCTTGGCCGGCCGCCGCGTCAGCCCTGGAGCCGCCGCTCAGGCCCTGCTCCGCCCCCTCGGCCGACCCGGCTGCGCCGAGGGGGCCAGAGAGGCCCCTCGACACCTCGAGGGTGCGCGACAGACCCGAGGCGGCGAGGCGCTTCGTCGCCCGGAAGAGGCGGCCGACAGGCGGAGCCTCGCCCACCGCCTCGCCCACCGCCTCGCCCACCCGCCCCGCAACGCCCTTCCCGACGTCGAGCGCCGACCCCGCCACGCCGCGCCCGATGCTGCGCGTCGTCTCGACGACCGACGCCACAGCGGGCGCCTCCTTGATCGCTCGGTCGACGGCGCTCGCCGCCTTGCCCGCCACGCCCTTGCCAAGGTCGACCGCAGAGCCGGCCGCAGCCTTGCCCCGGTCGAGCGCGCTGCCCACCGCGCCGCGCTCCGCCTCCGCCACCGCCGCTATCAGCTCATCGACGTACTCTCTCAGCTCGTCCGCCTGCGGACACGCGCGGGCGTGAAGCGCCGCCCTACACCGCAGCCAAGCCCGAGCTCCGCGGAGCCCGCCGTCGTCAGAGGAGGTGTCTAGGAGGTGTCTAGGAGGCGTCTGGGAGGTGTCTCTTGTCGATGGCGTGTCTCGCCTCGTCGGACGAGAGGAGTCGCGGCCTCTGCTTGCCGAAGAGCGAGCGGCAGAGCCAGCTCTCCAGGTCGGCGCGGGACAGGTCCTCCCACACGACTCCGTATGGCTCGAGTCGCGGACGGCCCGAGCCCGGCCCCGGCCCTGACCCGCCACCCGCCTCCCCTGCGGCGCCGCCCTCCGACGCACCGCCCTCCGACGCGCGGCCCGCCTTGAGCAGCAGCTCCGCGGGAGAGGCGTCGGCGAGCTCGGACCGCCGGAACATCCACCCCTCGACGAAGTCGCGCGGCGACTGGGACGGGTCGCGGAGGATGCGTCGCCAGATGCCCCGTCGCCACTCGCGCGTCTTCACCGCTGCGAAAGGCGGAGGGCAGGCTGAGCCGCCGAGGCGCAGGTTCTCGCGCATCGCCACCGCGAGGCAGGCGACGTAGAAGGCGGCTTCGCCGCACACCCAGAGCGAGAGCGCGGCGCGGCGCACGCCGGGCAGGGCGGCCACCCGGCGGGCGGTGACCGCTCGCGCGACGAGGAGGAGTGCGAGCGGCCCCATCATCTCGAGGCAAGAGACAAACAGCAGCATGCCCGCGTACAGCCGATCGTTTGCACCGACGAGAGTCTCGATGTAGCGGCGCGGCGCGGCATCTCCGTCGTCCGGAGGCGCGAGCGGCGCGGCGGCCTCTCGCGTCGCCCTCGACGTGAGCCATTTTGGCAGCAGCGCCGGGAACTGCGAGACGCGCAGCCCAACGACGGCACGGCCGACTGCCGCGGATGCGTTGGACGCGACCGCAATCGACCAGGCGTAGGCGTCGCGCACACCATCCTGCGACGTGCTCAGTCGCGAGACGGACCACGAGTAGGCCTCGATCGCGGCCAGCCTCGACTGCTCGAGCCGCAGCCCTGGGCTCTCTGCGTCCTCGCCTGCCGCCCCGTCCGTGCCGGGCTCGCCCGCCAGCCGCGCGGAGGCGTGTCGAAGGCGAGGCAACCGTGCCTGGCAGCGTAGCGAGGGCGTTGGGCAAAAGCCAAGCGCGAGGACGAGCGGAAGCATATACAAATCTCGCGGCGAGCGGGTGGCGTTCGCTCGCGCGAGGCAAGAAATCGTGCTGGTCGCCCGCCACGCATGCCTGTCCGACATGGGTGCGAAACAACGACAAGACCAAGGCACGGGCAGAGGAGCGAGAAGAACATAGGATGGATAGGGCGCCTGTTCACGGCATGGAGGGTGAGCCACGATGAACGTGAATGAACGTAGAGCCGAACGAGAGGAAGCCGGGGAAGACGACTCCGAGGAGGACGAAACACCAGTGGTAATCCCGCCATCAGCTGTCACGATATACCCGAAGGGAACCCCAGTGCCAACACCGACCGTTGAGGTTCAAGTGCTCGAAACGAGAGTGGACCTGAGCAACGTCCAACGACATGACTTGGAGGCAAATGATCGGAGTGGGAGTCAGAAATGTGGTCCTTGCGCGAGGGGAGCTCGATAAACTCGAGGGGCCAAATTATGCCGCGAGGAGGGCGGAGTTACGCAGAGGGGCGAGAGAAGCAGCGAGAGCAAGGCAGACGGCAGCGGCGTCTCAGAACGAGGCCGAGGAGAGCGATGAGTCAGAGGATGAAACAGCAGGAGAGAGAACGAGGACGAGAGTGGGAAGAACGAGAGGTGGCATGAAGGTCGCTGCGAGAATTGGTGAGAAACTGCGAAGAGAGATAGGAAGTGGTAGACGCCCGAGGGTGGGCGACGGCTAGCACCACACTCCTCTCCTTAAAATCCCTGTGTGGTGGCGGCGTGCCGTCCTCCCATCCCTCCCTTGGGTTGTCTGTTTTCTTTCTTTCTTTTGCCTATCCCTCCTTTCACACTCTCTCCCAGTCATGGTCTAGAGCCCGTGTTCTCCTCCCACCGGTCTACCCCGTCGTGGGGATTCGGGTCTTCCCCTTCGTCAGACGTTTCACCTAGAGAACGAACGCGCGCCCCCTTCGCCCACACCCTGAGCTCGTGAGCTGGTGGGGCTCGCACGCCCTCCCCGCTCCCCCTCGGGCCGGTTTTTTCTTTCTTTCTTCTACAACACAGAAGGGTGGGAAAGAGGAGTGATGCTCCGAGTGCTGCTACCGCACTCCAAGTCGTGCTCCAAGGGCAAGGCTGCGCGGGCGCGCACACCCACCATATTCGTTATTCCGCCCATTGAGGCGGAGCGGCACGCCCTCACTGACAGAGGAAACCGTACTACATGTAGAGCACGAGCGCAAAACAGCTGCCCTCACGGCCGCATCTTAGCTCTCACCACCCGTGCCGCGGCTTCGGCGCCGTCCTCATCAACAACCTCTTGGCGCAGCTCCTCGAGAAGGCTTGCAGGCACGGCGAGGGCTAGCCGCACCGCCGCCTCTATTTGCGCCGTCCGCCGGTCGCGGAGCGCTGCCTTGCGAACGGGCGTGAAGCACCCGCCAGCCGCACTTGCCGCGGCGGCATAGCCGTAGAGCTCCTCGAGCCGCACCGCGATGTAGTGCTGGTCGTCAAAGAATGGGAACGGAACGATGGGCACGCCCAGCGCGAGAGCCTCGTGCACCGAGTTTGCTCCTGACGCGGCGTCGCGGCGTGAGCATCTGCGAACGGGGCGGAGCCGCCACGGATCCCGAGGGCGCACCGGCGTGCGACACAAAGGCTCGAACGTTGTCGTGAGCGAGAGCCTCCCACTGCGGCAGCCACTGGGCGACGCGCAGGCGGCCGTCTGCGAGTGCGGTGGCCAACGCCCCGTCGTCTGCGAGATCCGAGGCCGTGGCGACGAGCACGCGCGGCGACGCCGCGAGGCACGCCAGCAGCAGGTCGACCTGGCGGCGGCGAGAGCCCGCCCGGGTGTGTGGGGTGGACGGGTCGGTGGAGAGGGGCTGGCGCACGCGCGCCTCTGCCGACGCGGAGAGGCTGTGCAGCGCGCTCTGCGATCCGAGCGAGATGAGCGTGGTGGGCCGCTGCTCGGGCGGCTGCACAGCGCCATCCAGCCACGCCTTGAGCTCGGTGTCGAAGCGACCCGGTCCCCCCCCCGCATCTCTGGGCAGGAAGGCGCCGAAGAGGCGCCGCGTTGTGCGCCACGCCGGCGAAAGGGCGATCCCCCGGCGCAAGGGCGCCGCCAGCATAAAGCCAGCCTCGAGCGCACCCGCGGCCGTCTCGAGATCCGCGATCGGCCCATCCACATCCTCAGGACGGTCGCGCGTTCGCGTCTCGCCGTCAAACGAGGTTACTGCCACGTGGCCGTGGCTGCGGAAAGCGTCGACAAAGGATGGCCGCACGCCGAGGCTGGGCACGTCCGCCTCGAGGCACACCCCAGCGACCCATCTGCACCACGTGTACTCCCAAACCACTGCCGCCACGTCCGGCTCACGCACTCGGGCGCCCAGAGCGGCACGGCCCTCCTCGCTCGCTGCGGCCGCCATCGGGTCGGTGTCCAGGGCGCACCCGAAGCGCTCCATGGCAGCGACCAGCCCAGCAAAGCCGTCAGCCACCACAGCCGCTTGACCTTCGGCGTCGGAATCGCCGGCGCTGGCAGCCCACTTGTACGAAGCGACAAAAGAGGCGAGAGAGCGCCCGTCGCCAAGCATCGGCCGCACCTGCAAGCCGCTCAGCCCCGGCGCCCACCTGGCGGCATGCTCATTGGTCCACAGCTCACACCGAACTGTGGCGGAGATGAGCCGCTCTGCCAGCGGCCCGGCCCACTGATAGTGCCCGCGATCGGCGGCAGCTACGAGGATCACGGTCCTCGGTTGTGGTGCGTCCGACATTGGCGACGGCGGTGCTTGACACCAATGCGTCAGGCCAAAGATCGAGGACGTACGTTCGATGACTTCAAGGGCGCGCTAACAACATCGCCCCGCGGCGGCATTTTGCCGGCGACGGTGGAGCAGAAGAATCAGCCGAGCAAGCATGCCCAACAAATCAACACGCAACCGATGCGCTCGGCGGAGCGGCAGCAGCATGCGCGGCTGGAGCGGCTCAACGTGAGCCGGCCGGCGTGGCCGCTCAACTTCACCTTTGTCTACGACCCACTGGACCGCGACATGGTGCGCATGCTCCGCACTCGCGTGCTGGAGCCTACGCTGTCCCGCGTGTGGCACGAGCTCACGTGGAAGTGCTGCCGGCATGAGAAGGGTGTCGTCGTCGACGTCGGCAGCAACTATGGCTGGTACACGCTACTGGCCGCCAGTCTCGGCTGCGACGTGCTCGCGGTGGATCCGGTGCCCTCCTACCAGCGGATATTAAAGCGGAACCTTGACGAGAATGGACTTCAACACAGGGTGACGATGAGGCGCGCGGTGGTGTACAACGAGCGCGGCACCTTCAATGTGAGCGTCCCGATTGCCGTCGCGGGAGGGCAGAAGCGGCGCAAGGTGCTGGGCATGACAGGCATGCACGGCGTCGCTGGCGTGCTCAAGTCTGACTCCCGAGACCGGCAGGCCGGCGGCTCGTACCTCGTCAGTGCAGCCTCGGTGAGCCTCGACAAGCTGCTGGCCGCGTATGGCACGCGGCCAATCTGCATGCTGAAGCTCGACGTGGAGGGGTACGAGCCGCAGGCGCTCCTCACGGCTCGAGACACGCTCGACTCGGGCCGTGTGCGCGCGCTGCAGGTGGAGGTCAACCGGGTGTATGCGCAGGGTGCCGTCCAGCAGAACTTGCGCGTGACCGAGCTCCTCGAGGAGCTCGACCGGCGGCGCTTCCGCGTTCGGCAGGTGCACAGCAAGTGTGCGCACGCGAGGAAGGCCGGCAGCCTCTGCGTCGACTCTGCGGACGCTCTGCCGCCTGACGGGGTGAGGTGGGAGGAGGCGCCGTCCGTTTGGGCGCGCCTGGACGAGATACCCTCCAACCGGAGCCGGCAACGGGCCGCGAACGCCCGCTGCTACCAGAGCATCTTTGCGGACCGGTTCAACTGGAGCGGCAGGCCTTCCGCGATGGAGCACGCCTTCCGCGACGACATCGTCGGCATGACCGCCGACATTGTGGCCATTCCGACCGGTGCCCCGCCCGCGGCTGCCCACGAGCACGCCTGCGTGGCGCCGCCGTTGGCCCTGCGGCAGCGCCGCTACCAATATGAGTACCGGTACAAGCGGGAGACCGTAGCTAGCGGTGGCGTGCGGGCGCGGGTTTCTGCGGTCTAATACCAAACAACTCTAACACTCACACGTCATTTGGAGCCTGGAGCCCTGTTCACGCGCGCGCGAGACGTGCAGACAGGGTTGCCGAGTGAGAGCGAATGGCGCGCGGTTCACACGCCTCGCACAACAGAGAGAGAGATGCGCTCTGCATGGTGGGACACTTGTTAATACTGTGAAAACCGAAAGGTGTGGATTTGTGTGAACGCACAGCGCCACCTGCAGAAATTTCTCAATAACAAGGCCTGTGAATGGCGGCGATTGAGCGCCTCCCTCTCTCCGGCTGCGCGCATGACCGGTGCGGCCTCCGAGTCGGCGTCTAGTGCGCGCGATAAGGTTTTTGCTCGCCTTCCCTGGGTCCCCGTGTTGCATGTCTGACTGTCACTGTGCGATTTCGGGGCTCGGGGTTGTGCGTTTGTGTGAACGGCTGCTGCTTGCTTGTGCGTCTTGGTCCGGCGTTGTGTTTTTGTGTGAACGTGCTTCTGACTGTCGTTGCTGTCAATCCCTTTCTCGACTGTCTGAGCTTGTGCGTCTTGGGACCGGGGTTGTGTTTTTGTGTGAACGGCTGCGATTTCGGGCCCGGGGTTGTGCGTTTATGTGAACGGCTGCTGTCAATCGTCGAAAGCACCGCCCCCCAACCCCGCCGCCGCCGGCTGCAGCGCGATCCGCGATGGGTGCTCCGGACGTGCTGATGCTCGTCCTCCCCTTCCTCGTGCTGTGCGGAGGGGTCTGCGGCGTCGGCTGGTGCTTCCTGGCCCGCACGCTGCTCCGCGCCCGCGTGGAGGGCTATCGAAAGCTCGTCCGTCGTGGGGAGGAGCTGCAGCGCGCGCCCGATGTCGAGGCTGGTGCGGCTACTACTTCACCTTGCAGCGCGACCACGCGCCTGCTGCTGCTGCCGCTCCTCATTCTCCCCTGCCTGCTGATCGCCGTGTTTGTCGCCGTTCCAAGCTGCTGCGGCGCGCTAGTCATGGGTGCGCTTCGCCGCTCCCGCCGCCGCCGAGTAGCGCGGCGGCCGAGCAGACGGCCAGAGGGCCTCCGTGTCGCGGTGGTTGGCGGCGGGTGGACTGGCGTCCGCGTCGTCGGCGCGCTGCGCCGGCGTGGCGTGCAGCAGATCACCGCCTTTGAGCAGGCCGCGTCGCTGGGCGGTTCTGCGTGCGGCGCGTCGCTGCATCACTTGGGCACGGGCGAGCTCCGGTCGGTGTGGAATTCGATCCACACCGACGGCCGGATCGGCGGCGCGAGGGCCAGCAAGCCTGGCGGCGAGGCTGGCGGCGAGGGCAGGGGCGGTGGCGAGGGCAGGGGTGGTGGCGAGGGCAGGGGCGGTGGCGAGGGCGGCTCGTCCCTCGACGAGCGCGCGAGGCCGCCGGAGCTGCTCGCGTCGCTCGAGTCGCTCGCGCGGCGGTCAGCGGCGTGGGGCCACTTCCGCTTCCGCTCTGCGGTGCGGGCGCTGAACTACGACCCAACGAGGCGCGAGGCGACGCTGCGTGTGCAGCGGACGGACGGGGGCCGGTTCGGTGCGGAGGTCGAGTACGGGCCCTTCGACTGCGTGGTGTGGGCCTCCCTCGACGGACGGCCGAGCCCGCCCCACGAGCAGACGGTGCGGTACCAGGAGGCGTTCCAAGGGCGGATCACACACGCGTCCGCGCTGCTGCCCGAGGAGTTGGAGGAGGCGGCAGCGAGGCTCGAGAGGGTGGTTGTGGTTGGCGCGAGCAAGGCAGCGTGCGACCTCGTCCTCGCGCTCCGCAGGAACGGGCACGCCTCCTCCCTCACGTGGGCGGTCCGCCGCCCGTACACCTTCCTCCGCCTCGAGGCGCTCGCCGACGCCTCCGCCAGCGGCGCGGCGCTGCACCTCGCCAACGGAGTCGCCGCCGCCGCAGCGCCCTTCGCCCCGCGGCTGAGCGGGCTCGTCTGGTGGGCCACCGGCCTGGCGTGCACTCCCTGCAGCCCCTCCAGCCCGGCCGCGGCAGCCGCGGGGGCGGCGACACGCGGTGTCGGCGAGAGGGCGAGGTGGGCGGATGATTGGGGCGCCTTCCGCGTGGGGGTGCTGTCGGAGGCGGAGCTCTCCTTGCTGCGCAGCACGAGGCTCGTGGTGGGCGAGCCGCTCTCTTTCTCCGAAGGCGGGATCCACTTCTCGGGCGGTGTCGAGGTGCGTGCCGACCTCGTCATCTTCGCGACCGGCCACACGACAGGCGACGAGACGCGCCCGCCCGTGCCCCCCCCCCCCCCCGACCCATCTCCTCCCGCGCCCAACGCCCCCTTTTGCTGCGCACACTGCAGGCCTCGAGGCGCTGCACATCGAGCGAGCGAGCGAGAGGCGGGGGCGACCACCGCAGCCAGGCTCGCAGGCCGAGAGAGGCGGAGGCGGAGGCGGAGGCGGAGCTGCGGAGCTCGAAGCGGCGGCCGAGGAGGCGGGCGGCGGCGTGGCGGAGAGGGCGGGACTCGCGGGGGCGGCCTGGTCTTCGCCGTCGCGCGAGTTGCCCCTCCCGCCTAGAGGACGGTGGTACCGCCACCTCATCGCGCCTCGCTGCCCGGTCCTCGCCAGCGCGGCGGAGTGCTTCACCGGGTTCGGGCCGGCGCACGGCGAGACTGTCGCGCGGCTGCTGGTCGACCACCTCTGTGACGCGGACTCCTACTCCCTCGGAGAGGAGGAGCTCGAAGCTGAGACGCGCAGCCACTGCAGCCGCGGCCAGCAACTCTTCGGCGCGCCCCGCGGGCGGCTCAACCCCGCTCCTCAGTGGCTGCTGCTCCTCCTCGACCTGACCTCTCAGGGCCTGCTCGAGTTTACTGACCTCCGTGACATCTTCCGCGGCGCGCTCCGCACTGTGCGACTGCCACGCGGAGCGCCGCACTCTGACGAGTGACTACTCGCGCGCCTTTTGGGGCGCCAAGTCCATGACGCATGAGCAATACACATCATTCAAGTTCGCTGTGTGTATGTGTGCCAGAGCAGTGAGTTTGTTGTGTGAAGTGTGTCAACACCGCACGGATCAATAATATCAGAGGACAGAGTCAGAGACCGGACGCGGAGTCCGGAGACGAGAGGATGAGAGCATTTGTGGGGAAAGAGTCCCCCACAGGGGCAGGGCCTCCAGCCTCCAGGGCACGCACCACCGGACAAGCGCGCGCAGCGCAAAATACGACTATGGATAGGACTATACATACACTAAAAGCCGTGGCGAAGTGTCAAATCACAAACAAAAAAGACAGGGAAAAACTCGGACCCACGTAGACAAGGAGCGCGCGCCAATGGCCGCCTCCGTGACACTCCCACCTCCTGGGCCGGCGCGGGAGTTTTACTGCCGAGTTTCTCCCGGCCGGCCGCCTCCTGACACGCCCACTGACCGAGCCCATCGAAAAAATTCGGCGCGCCGCACTGCTCTGACCCCTGCTCGCCACTGCTCGCCACTGCTCGCCACTGTCGCCTCGGTTGCCGAGGCTGCCGCGCACCCGCGCGCCCGCGTCGCTGCGCGACTACGAACTGCACCAGCTGGGCTCGAACCAATGACCAAAACGTCCCCGACCCGAACGCTGCACCAACTAGGCCACGCCGCAGGCTCGATTTGCAATACGCACAAAACTGGCCGCTCATAAAGCACTACTCATTTGCCGAGGCCACGCGGCGCCCCTCCACAGCCAGCCTACCCTCCTATCGCGCCACTCGAAGCCCCGCGGCCGCCTCTCGCCTACCGCGCTGCCCTCGCCTGCCACCGCACCGCCCGCGCTCCAGCCTAACCAGCTCTGCATCTCGCAACACACACTTGACAGGGACAGACCAGGCGCAGGAAAAGGGAGCGGGGCCCGAATCCAAGGGACCACCCCGTCGGGCGGAGGAGCTGTGAACTCAGGTCCAGCAGGAAGGCTGCTGGCTCCTGACTCATCCCCCAAATCCCCCACACCTTGGCGGCCTGAAACCTTACCATTCCGACACCTCACACACACCCCTCCCCTAGGGCTAAGCAGTGCGCGAGCCCACCCGACTTCAGGCGAGACGTTGACCACTCCTTTGGAACAGTTCTGTCAGTGGCTGCACTAGACGCCCACAGAGGCGCGCGGCGCGGGCAGATGACTAGGGGAGAAAAAGCGGAGAACCTAGCTCGCTGGGAGATGCGCGCAACCTAAAGACGGGAATAGGGGAGAAGTGTCAGTGTGAGGGGAGGGCGTAGGCTGGCGTTTTTGCCTTTGAAAACTGAACAGTTTTTTTAACAAAAAAGACAGTTGTGAGTTGAGAGTGTGAAGGCGATGAATGAAGGCGACGGCCCAGGAAGGCAGGGTAAGCCGTACTGGGTACTGCCGATCCCGGATCCCGCTGACGAGCGAGCTCTTCTTGTAGCACGATCGGTCACACCCGTACACCTCCGCGCTCCGTGTGCCCTCCGCCCAATCCCACACCCCCTCTGAACCCGCACGCCCGCGGCCGATCGACGACTGAAACAGAAACCGCAACTCATGGCGACAAACGGCCGATCGTCCGCGCGCCCCGGCTCGGACCACCGAAGCCGGGGCGTGCAGGGCACAGTTCGGTTCCGCACCACCTTTCGTAATACCATCTACGACGTCTTTAGAGCCCGCGGCTGGCGCGAGACCGAGTCCGACACTGACTGGGATGTCGCATGGGTCGACGTCGGTTGGATCCGCGACAACATGGATGCAATGCACTTCGACGAGCACCAGCGCATCAACCACTTTCGCAACCACTACGAGCTGACGCGGAAGGATGCGATGAACCGCAACCTCCGTCGCATGCAGCGGCAGCTCATGCGCGAGGAGCGGCATGACGAGGCGTGCGCACAGCCTCCGCCCGCTTCCGACGATCAGAGTCCACATGGTCACCCCACCACTTCGCCGGGCATTATTTTAGGCACGAAAGTATGACTTCTTCCCCACCACCTACGTGCTCCCGGTCGATTACGGACCGTTTGTGGAGGAGTTCAAACAGCAGGCGCGTGCGCGAGAGCTGCCGAGGAGAACCGCCAATGGCGCGACAAGCCGAGCTAACTTGGGGTGTCCAGGCGCTACCTTGCCCCCATGTTGCGCTCAGGCGAATGCGATTTGGATCATGAAGCCGATCGGTAAGGCGCAGGGCAAAGGTGCGGCGGCTGCCGGGTTGAGCTTCCCCTCGCGCTTGCTGAACTTGATCCATGTGTGCCTAACCATGAGCGCTGTTCGATTCTGAGTAGCTCAATCTCACCGTTCCGCGTCGCGCCGCGGCCGAGCAGGTTTGGTAGGCATATTCCTCTTCAACAAGCTCTCTCAGATCAACGAGTGGCGCAAGGACCACCGCTGGAAGCCCGACGAGGCGCAGACGGAGACTTACGTGGTGCAGCGCTACATCGAGAACCCGCTGCTGGTGGGGGGGAAGAAGTTCGACCTCCGGATCTACGCACTGGTCACCTCGTTCAACCCGCTCGTATGCTACCTGTACTGCTCGGGCTTCGCACGCTTCACCGGGTTCCGCTACTCGAGCAGTGCGAAGAAGCTGGGCGAGTCGTACATGCACCTCACCAACGTCGCCATTCAAAAGACGGTGCGTAGTGGGCGCTTCCGCGACAAGGGCGACAAGCCACACCATCCGGCCCAACACATTAGGCGCCCGGCTACGACGCTGATGCGGGATGCAAGTGGCCGCTGCGCCAGCTCAAGCTGTACTTGATTGGCAAGTTTGGCGCAGCGGCGACAGACAAGCAATTTGCCAGAGCGCTCACGCGACGTTTGGGGCCAGCTCGATGCGCCACCGCTCCCGATTAGGCTCTTTGCCGAGATGCAGGAGATGATTATCGCCTCCCTCCTCGCCGTCCAGAAGGTGATGATCCAGGACAAGCATGCCTTCGAGATGTACGGCTACGACATTATGGTTGGCGGCACCGCCCAACTGGCGGCTGCCACGCTCGCATGCAAACGGAAGGCACGCGTCGCATAGGTGGACGACCAGCTCAAGCCTTGGCTCATCGAAGTGAACTCATCGCCTTCCCTCTCCGCTGATACGCCGACCGACTATGAGCTGAAGTTTGGGCGCGAGGCCCAACGGAAGCCCTCGTCTTCAGCAGCCAACTCGCTCACCCAATGCCGCCGCCGCGTACAGGCTCCTTGACGATCTCTACACAATCATCGACGTGGAAAACAGGCTTGGTGGGGCAGTCGAAGAGACCATTGGCGAGCCGCCTGCCCGCGTCGCGCCCATCATTCCGGCACTGTCTCGAGACTCGGCCCTCTCACCACCTTCGTAGGTGGCTTCCAGCTCATCTACAACGGTGGGCGCGTAAAGCCCGACCAGAACGCCTGCTACACCACGCGGCTGGGCTGCTTCGATGACCGGCAGCGGCAGCTCAAGCGACTGCACAAAGCCCACCGCCGGCGGGCAGTAGCAGGCTAGGGTTGGTGGCGCCGGCCCGCTGCGGACCAATTGTGTATGTGCATATTGCAGCACACTCGTGGCAGTCACCCAGTCTGCACAGACCGCAGCACGTTAGTACATTTACGTGTACGTGTGTGCGTGTGTCCTCCCCTTACGTGTCAGTAGCCGTACGCCGTGTTCTCCTTTTCCACATAAAAACCATGTGCTACGTCACAGTGTCCGTGACATCTCTGACAGGCTCCGCGCGCCCCCCCCCTGTCGCCTCTCTCGGTGTGGCGCGCGCCGCGGCGTGAAAAAAAAGAACGGAGGCGAGGGAAATTTTTGAATATTCTTATCTTTTTGCCCCCCTCCGAGACTAGGGACAGAACCCACCCGTACACAGGAGACATGGGACTGCGCCCCGCCCCCGCTTGCCCTGACTGCACAGGATAGCGTGCCCCGATAACGGCGACACATTAGCGGGCCTTTTCTGAGAGGTTTCGTACTAAAGACGTCCTTCTTGGCACTTCGGGCGTCGGTGTGTGCGTGTCTGTGTGTCTAATTCCCCCGGTATGCTATATAGGTCGCCCGCCGGCGTCCTCCTCACCAGTGTTTCTTCGCCGAGTGCCGCCCCGCGTGGGGGAGGCCTCTGCTGGTTCGAAACCTGGTCCCGACCCACTTATTTTTTTGTTCACACCTGAGCGGGCTCAATTTTTGCTCCAGGTGCCTCCTACGATTCGACCTCGCGTTCTCAGGCAGGTCGCCTGGTGCGTTGTTCGTTTTCGTCACGGGAAGCCGCAGGCGAGGAAAACCCTCGCGCAACACAAGGGGGCGGGAAAAGAACAGCTGTCAGCTCTCTCCCTTTTAATCCATCGCTTGTGAGGCTGATTTCATCTGGCGAAAAGTGGGGAAAGAGAGCGAGCTCCATATACAACCGTGCACGAACACCAACCAAAGACGCTCTATCACTCCCCAAGGGCAGCGCAATTGGGTCATGCTGTATCCCTAGCCCTTGCCACCCGCGTGGCGACTCGAAGAGCGACCTTCTTCGCCCGCGCCCTGATCGGCTCGGGGACCACGTAGCGGGCGGCCGCGCCTGAGCGGCCGATCGCCCACGAGCCAAGGAGCTTCCCAGCGGCCGAGAGCGAGGAGGCCACCTCTGCGAAGCGCGTGCGGCCAGCAGCGCGCGCGGCGCTCGCAGCCGGTGTGACCGCCGGCTGGACAGGGGAGGACCAGACGGGCATGGTGCAGCCGTCGACTCCGCACCTACGGCGGCCGGGTCGCGGTGAGGGGGGGAGCGGCAGGGAGGCAGGCGTAGAGGCAGGGAGGCAGGCGTAGGGGCGGGCGCCGCGCACTCGAGCGCCGCCTCGGCGGCTGGCTTCCACTTTGCCGCGAGGGACCATCGGACGCCGAGCCGCTTTGCGATGCCCTTGATCAGGATGGTCGCGCGGCCGAGGAGGACGAGCTCCTGCGGGAAGGAGGCGATCGCCTTGATCGGCGAGTCGGGCGAGAGCTCCGCGTTGGAGAAGCCGCCAGGCATCGGCGCGTCTGGGTCGCCGAACAGGAGCAGGGCGAGGGCGGCCGCCGCCTCGTCGGGCGCGTCGTCGACGAACGTGACGCCGAACTCGGCCATCGACTCCTTCGCGCGCTGCACAAGCTCGGGCGAGCCGCCCGTCTGCTGCCACTCGTCGACCTGAGGACATGTCCGGGACATGTCAGCGACGTGTCCTGGAGAGAGCCGCCCGCGCTGCGACCCGTCCACCGAGAGGACAGCCTGCGCGAGCTTGAGCCGGAAATCGGTCGAGATCTGCTTGACCTGCCCGCAGTCGATGAGGGCGACGCGAGCCCCCTCCATCAGGAAGATGTTGCCGGGGTGCGGGTCCCCGTGGATGAAGCCAGCGCCGAGCATCATCCGGCCGAAGGCCTCGGTCAGCTGCGCGAGGATGCGGCGGCCTGGTGGACGTGCCGCGGACATGTCACGGACGCGCCAAGGGCACAAGTCCGCAGCGCGAGGATCGGCCTGCGAGCTCTGACTCTGGCGACTCTTGCGAGCCGGCTACATCTCGGCTGTCTCGGCTCCACCTCGGCCTGCGAGCTCCGACTCCGGGCTGCCGGGCTTGATGCCGCGCTCCTCGAGCACGGCCGCCATCTTGTTGAGCGGCGTGCCGGGGATGAAGTCCATCACTAGCACGCGGCGCGACGCGAGCCCCGGCACCGGAAGAGGCACCGCCACCGCCGGCTCGGCTGGCTTGCCTCCCGCGGTGTGCGAGACGCTCGCGTGCACCTTGAGCGCGCTCTGCGCCTCCTGCAGGAAGTCGAGCTCGCCGTAGAGGGCGCGCTCGAGCTCGCAGAAGACGGTGTAGTAGTCCACGGGCAGGGCCTTGCCCAGCGCCTTTGCGAACCGCTTCAGGTTCGAGATGTCGCCCTTGAGCTTCGGCTCGCAGTTTGGGCGTTGGACCTTGACTGCGACTCTGCGCCCGTCGAGCAGCGTCGCGCCGTGCACCTGCGCGATCGAGGCGGCGCCGAGCGGCTCGTCGTCGAAGGAGGCGAAGAGGGAGGAGATCGGCTCGCCCTGCAGCAGCTCCCGCTCGATGACCTCTCTCACCACCGCTGCAGGCATCGGATCGAGCGAGTCTTGCAGGCTAGCGAGTCGGCTCGTGTACTGCTCCGGAAAGAGGTCGACGCGCGTGGAGATGACCTGCCCGGTCTTTACATAGAAGCCCTTGAGCTCCTGAATCGTCGACTCGAGCCGCTGCGAGCCCCACTCGTGCAGCTCCTCGTACACCTCGCCGCTCTCTGTTTCGGTCTCGGGTATCCTCACGCCGGACAGGCCGACAGCGAGCCGGAGTGGCGCAGGCAGATTGGCGGCGACCTCCACAACCTTGTACGCCCCGAGGATGGGCAGTACGCGTCCCCAGAAGGTGAGCGCGCGCTTGACGCGCGCAGCAGGCGTCAGCGGAGCCTCATCTCCGAGCGGCAGCGGCTCGGGCTGCACACCGACGCTTCCGGCGGCCATGCACTGTGCGCTCGCGCGGCGTGCGCTGTGCGGCCCAATGCGGCCGGATGGGGGTGAGGAGAGAGCGCTGCTCGAGGGTTGAAGGGCCAGAGCGAGGATCATGGCCGATGCAAACGAAAAAAGAAAATTCTGGATCCCGCTTCTCCCCTGATCGTTCCAAAATCCTGCTCGTGCAGGTGGGGACCCTGTCCTCGTCCCATCCCTCGTTTGTCTGTTTTCTTTCTTTCTTTTTGGCGGGCCGTGCTCCCGCGTCGCGCGGCCGCTCGCTGCGAGCAGCCGCAGCGCCGCGCGCGCGCGCGCCGCTTCAGCCTCTGCGACGTGCACAAGTCGCGCCCGACGACCAGATTGGCTGCTCACACTTTTTAGTATTTAAACTCGCGGTTGGAGAGAGAGAGAGAGAGATTTTTAGCAATACCTTTATGTGATGTTACAGGTGGGTTAAGAGGGAGATGTGCAATACCAAACTTGTTTTGACGCACACTTTGGAGGCTTTGGCTTTGGAGGCGCGGCGTCGCTCTCTCGACTCCGCGAACAAAGGGCCCCTTCAAAGCCCGCAGAGACACACAGAAAAAGAAATTTGCGAGGGACAACTCGAGGGAAGAACGAGAGGTGGCATGAAGGTCGCTACGAGAATTGGTGAGAAACTGCGAAGAGAGATAGGAAGTGGTAGGACGGCTAGCACCACACTCCTCCTTTAAAATCCCTGTGTGGTGGCGGCGTGCCGTTCTCCCATCCCTCCCTTGGGTTCTCTGTTTTCTTTCTTTTTTTCGAGGGTCAAAATATGCCGCGAGGAGGGCAGAGCTGCGACGAAAGGCGAGAGAAGAAGCGAGAGCAAGGGATCGGCAGGCGGCGGCGCCGTCGCAGAACGAGGCAGAGAAGAGCGACGCGACAGAGGAAGAAGCGACAAGAGAGAGAACGAAGAGAGTGGGACGACCGCGAGGTGGCATGAAGGTTGCAGCGAGAAGCGGCGAGAGGCTGCGACGAGAGATAGGAAGAGGCAGACGCCCAAGGGTGGGCGACGGCTAGCGCATCACACCCCTCTCCTTAAAATCCCTGTGTGGTGGCGGCGTGCCGTCCTCCCATCCCTCCCTTGGGTTGTCTGTTTTCTTTCTTTCTTTCTTCTGAAAACAAAAAGACCCCCCCCCCCCCCAAATCCTCATCGCAAACCCTGTCAGCCGAGAGTCCTCCTACGGGAATGTACCTACGTAAGAGCCACATACAACGAGAAAAAACCCAGCCGAAATGAAATGGGGTGCAATGGCCAATGACCCCAGCGGCCCAGCGTGCGCCTTCTTCTTTGTTGCAACACAAACAAGCTACTCCCACAATCTCAAGTATCCCCTGCCGGCAGCAGCCTCCACGTCGGCCTCCGCCCCCTTTCCTCGCACGACCAGGCCTCGGCTGTTGGCGCTCTTGGCCCGCGCCAGCGCCGCCGAGTTGCGCGTCCCTCCCTTGCCTTCGAGCTTGAGGCTCGCCCGCAGCGCGCTTGTCACGTGCGCCCCGCCGTACGCCTCCGCGTCCCTCATCGCGCAGACAAAGATGGTCGACACAGTGCACTCGTACACGCTGGCGAGGGCGCGTCCGACGAAGAGCGCCAACGCCGCCACGGCCAGGCTCGGCAGCAGCGGCTCCACCCCGGGCTGGTCCTGCATCCAGCGAAGCAGCGGCTGCGCGCTCAACCCCCCTCCCCCTCCCTCCGCAAGCTGCGCCACCCCGGCGCCGTCGGCAGCCGGGCCCGTCAGGGGCGAGCCGCTCGCCGCTTCCTCCAACCACCTGCCCGCCGCGTCAACCCAGGTGGGCCACACGCCGCTGCTGATGAGGGCGTACGAGACGACCCCGCAGGCGAGCGGTATCCCCACCGACTGGACGCCAAAGAGCAGCGACTGCACGGTAACGTTGATGACGGCTTGCGCCGGGTAGCGCGCGGTGAGGAGGAACGTCTCGCGGCAGGCGGAGCAGAAGGCGTCGCCGTCGAGCGCGACGAAGATGTAGGCGAAGGAGTTGATGTAGCTCATGCACCGGCCGAGGCAGCGAGTGTAGCACCGCAAGCAGCGCATGGTGACGCCCGTGCCGCCGCCCGCCGACTGGCGCTCCAGCCACTGGAGGCCCCGACGCAAGAGCTGCGTCACGGCGAGCAAGAAGGCGCCGTACGCGATGGAGCCCGCGTGGAAGCGCAGGGCCCGCCACAGCGAGGCCGTGAGCGGCCACCTCTGCCTCTCCCGCGTGCCGCGGAAGAAGAACCAGTGCGAGACGGCGCCGCTCGTCGCCGTCCAGCCAAACGCGCCGACAAACTGCGCGGCCCAAAAGGACGCCGCCACGTGGTAGACGAGAAGAAATGTGCGCAGCCTGTCGGGTGGCAGTGGCGAGAGGAGTGCCGCGACGGTGTCGCCGACCTCACTCGAGCCGTCGGCGAGCCACCCGTTGGCGACGAGGCCAACCTCGGCCGGAGTCGGCCGTGCAGTAAGCAAAAAGATCGGGACGACGACGCTGTAGAGGAGGGTGGCGAGGGACACGAGGAGCATGACGAAGGAAAACAGAAGGAGCTGGGGCGACTCGCTGATCACCGCCGTCGCGCCCTTGACGACTCCGACGGTGATTGAGATTCTTCGGCAGAGAGCGGCGTATGCGGCGGCGTAGACTGCAAAGAGGAGAAACAGCGTCGCCGCCGCCCACTGAAAGCCGACGTCGCGTTCAGCCCCGCTCATCGCTTGTCCGTGTTCGTCTGTGTAGACCAGCCCCTCCGCCACGTCCGCGGGCACGAGACCCCCTTTGAGCGCGCACATTGCCGCTGCTGCGAGCAGCGACAGGCCGACGCCGCAGAGGAGGAGGTGCACCGTGCAGCGGGCGGCGAGGCGGAGGAAGACGAGCCACAGGAGCCCGAGAAGCACGGGGAGCACAAGCCCGCACGTAATCACCTCGCCCCGGGCCGCCACCACCGAGTCCAGCGCGCGCGATGCCGCTCCGAGGCCACGGGTCAGTTGCGCCGCAAAGGCCTCGCCGTCCGGCAACGAGGCCACCTCAGAGTGCGTGATGGTGAGTGCGCGCTCGCAGCGCATGCGCCGCGCCGCCGTGTCCTGCGCCCAGAGCCCGCGATCCTCGTAGCCCGCCACCTCCAGGCACGACTCGCCCACCTCGCTGCACGAAGGCTGCTCGCACGCGACGAGGACGCTCCGGTGCTCCTCGGCCACCGGGAGGCAGCGGTGGAGCACGGGGACGGTGCCGAGCGCCGCGGTCCAGCGGACCAGACCCGTGGCGTTGTCGGATCCCGTGGCGTTCTCCGAGCCGGCTTCGAGCACGACGTCGCCCCGCGCGGGGCAGGAGGCGACACACACGCCGTACAGGCGGTGCGAGAAGGGCGTGGCCGCGCCACGGGCAGCCAGGTCCTGGCTGAGGTGGGGGAAGAAGGTGAAGGGCAGGTGTTCCAGTCGGTGCGAGCCACAGCGCCGACCAGAGTGGTCCGTCCCGTAGAAGACGGCTGAAGGGTCGCCCAGAGCAAAGGCGGCGCCCCCCACGAGCGCATGGGCCGACATTGCCAACGCAAAGAGGAACAGGCAGGCGCAGTCTGTGCACGAGTGCTCCCCTGGTGGAGGCGGGCCCGCGGGCTTGAGCGATGCGCTGCCGCGGCTCGTGGTGCTCGCACTGTCGCTGCCGTCGTCACGCGAGCGCCAGAAGGGCATCGTCTGAGCCGGTGACTGGCGGAAGGACGGACGAGTGCAACTCTTTTGAGACTCGATTGAGACAGGAGCTTCGATGCTTTTTAAAAGGCATTCAATTGTCGGCATTACACATTGCAACAAGACTCAAGAGAAGGCGATGACGTCGTCCAGCATCGATGTCGCGTTGACGGTGACCGAGTTTGGTAGAAAATGCAGATCGAATTCGGGCATGTGCTCCAGCAGCCACGTCTTGGCAGTGCACCAGTCGAGCGATTGCGCTCGGACGACCGAATTCCGCCAGTCGACTAGCTGCGGGTCGAAGCAGGTCATGTTGGGAAGTGGCGGCGAGAGTGTGACGTCGCAGCGGCACCGAAGCTGCTGGCTGCTCTGTGATCCACAGCGGGTAGGCGTAGGTGTCGTGGCCCAATCCGGCGATCCAGTCAGTCCAGGGTGCAGAAGCGGGCGGCATGGAGAATTTTACAATGGCATGGAGAAGTCAGCCGTCTCAAGAAAAACGTCAATTCACACTCCAAGTGCTGCATCATCTGTCCCGCGTCCACCCATAACGCGCGCTGGTGTCCACACCAGTCCGAGCCTGACTGTTCTTCACCTTCCTACCTACCTACCTGCTGCACTCCAAGTGCTCCAAGTGCCTCTCCTCCTGGTCCTGCTCCGAAGCTGAGTGGGGCCGACTGGGCTGTTGAGGGGGGCGAGGCGGCGCTCGCGGCGGCGTTGTCCGCCGCCAAGGAGAGGCGCGCGGCCACTGCAGCTGCAATGGCAAAGGCGGCCGCTGCCAGGATGGCGGCGGATGCGGCACGGCGCTCGTAGGGAGCTGCTGAGTGTGCTGAGGGGCAAACGCGTGCCGCGTGGCCCCTCTCGGTACGTGTACGGGGAAGCTCGAGGACTCTCTGGGGGCTGTGGCGCTGTGCGGTGTGGTCGCGGATGCTTGTCGGGGTAGAGCCGCGCCGTATACACAAGCAGGGGAGAAAAGCAGCATCCGCGTACACACAACGTTCTCTCACACACACCTTACGGCCCTTGCACCCTCGCCTCGACCTTCTTTGGCAGCAGCTGGTTCGACAAGTCCTCTCCGTGGCCTAGACAGCCGCGCTCGCCCTGGCCCCAGGTAAAGGCGGCGCCGTTGGCGGTGAGGGCGAGGCTGTGGTCCTCTCCCGCCAGCACGGCGACGACGCGCTGGCCAGCCAAGGCCTCGACCTTCTTCGGCTGCAGCCGGCGCTGCTCGTCGCCGTGGCCCAACCTGCCAAAGCCTCCACTGCCCCAGCTCCAGACGGCGCCGTCGGCGGTGAGGGCGAGGCTGTGCATAGCTCCGGCCGACACGGCGACGACGCGCTGCCCTGCCAGGCCCTCGATCCTCTTGGGCAGTAACTGGTTCTGGTCGTCGCCGTGGCCCAGCCGGCCACAGACTCCGCCGCCCCAGCTCCAGACGCTGCCGTTGGCGGTGAGGGCGATGCTGTGGTACACTCCCGCCGAGACAGCGACGACGTGGTGGCCAGCAAAGGCCTCGATCTTCTTTGGCTGCCACTGCTCCTGCTCGTCGCCGTGGCCCAACCGGCCGAAGCCTCCCCAGCTCCAGACGGCGCCGTCGGCGGTGAGAGCGAGGCTGTGGTTAGCTCCGGCCGACACGGCGACGACGCGCTGCCTTGCAAAGGCCTCGATCTTCTTCGGCAGCAGCTGGCACGTTGCCTGCGGATCAAGTGTCAATGGGCCTCAGCGCAGCCGTGTGTGTGTGCGCGGGGGGCACGCACACACACACACACACACACACACACACACACACACACACACACACACACAGAGAGAGAGAGAGAGAGAGAGAGAGAGAGAGAGAGAGAGAGAGAGAGAGAGAGAGAGAGAGAGAGAGAGAGAGAGCTGCTCCTGCTCGTCGCCGTGGCCCAGCTGGCCAAAAACTCCACCGCCCCAGCTCCACACGGCGCCATCGGCGGTGAGGACGAGGCTGTGCACGCGTCCAGACTCCACGGCGATGGCGCGCTTCCCCGCCAAGGCCTCGATCTTCTTGGGCAGCAGCTGGGCCTGCGCGTCGCCGTGGCCTAGCCGTCCGTGCCAACCTGCGCCCCAGCTCCAGACGGCGCCATCGGCGGTGAGCGCGAGGGTATGCAGATCTCTAGCCGACACACTCACGGCGCGCTCGCCGCCAAGCGACGGGAGGCGCGTCGGCGTGTTGAGCCGCGTCACTCCCTCGCCGTGGCCGAGGATGAGGTTTTGAACGTGATCCGGCGTTGAGCCGCACGACGAGAGCCGCCCCTCGCCGTCGATGAAGACGCTGTGCTGAACACCTGCCGACGCCCTCGCCGGCGGGTTGGACTCGCGCAGCAAGGCAGCGCAGCACAGCCACCGCGCGGCGCAGCCCTCGTCCTCTGGCGGCGCCGGCAGCTCGTAATCGCGCTCTTGCGCCCACAAGCGGATGCCCTGCTCCGCGAGTGAGGCGTGGAAGAGCAGCGAGACGGCCGCAGCGCGAGCGATGTCGGCGGGGTCGCAGCGAGAGAGGACGCGGACGAGGAGCTCCGTGGGGAGGTCGAGGAGGCGGGCGGGCGGCGGCGTGGCTGGCGAGGGCGCGGAGGTGGAGGCCTGGACGATGCGGCGCCTCGCAAGAAAAAGAATTCTCCCCGCCGTGAGGTTAATGACTGCACTCTGCTCCAGAGGCAGACTCCCTAGGGTGGGCGACGGCTAGCGCACCACACACCTCTCCTTAAAATCCCTGTGTGGTGGCGGCGTGCCGTCCTCCCATCCCTCCCTTGGGTTGTCTGTTTTCTTTCTTTCTTTCTGCACTCTGCTCCAAGTGCTCCAACGTCTGTCGATTGCATGCGAAACAAAGACAAGACCAACGCACGGGCAGAGGAACGAGAGAAGAATATAGGATGGATAACGCGCCTGTTCAAGGCATGGAGGGTGAGCCACGCTGAACGTGCTGAACGTAGAGCCGAACGGACGGGAGGACGCCGGGGAAGAAGACTCCGAAGAGGACGAAACACCAGTGGAAATCCCGTCGTCAGCTGTCACGATGCACCCGAAGGGGATCCCAGCGCCTGGCGAAGAGGAGGTCGCGTCCACGCCCTGGCTGCCAGCCAGAGGCGCCGCGGGCCTCCTAGCCGCGCTCGCCGCCGCGAGCGCTGCCACCTCTGCCGCGGCCGCCGCCCCGGCCGCCGCCGCCGCGTCCGGAGACCCCGCCATCGCGCTGGCCACGGGCGTCGCCATTGCGCTGGCCACCGCCGCGCTGGCCGCTCCCGCCGCCGTCGCCGCTGCGGCGGTCGCCGCCGCCGCCGTTGCCGCCGCCGCCGCCGCTGCCGCCGCTGTCGCCGCCGCCCCGCCGGCTGCTGCCGCAGTGCCGCTACTGTCGCGCCCACCCCCGCCACCGTCACCGCCGCCGCCGCCGCCCAGGCGGCCGAGCCGCTTGGACGCGCCGGGGGGCTTGTGCTTGAGCCGGGCAATGTCGGCGGAGGATCTCGGAGGCGACCGCGCTGCCGAGGTGGGTGTGGCGGCGGGACACGCAGGACTCGTGGAGCCGCTGTCCGAGCAGGGAGCGGGCGCCGCTCTGCGACCGCTCATTGCCGTAGAGCGGGTCGAACTCGGCCGCCTCGAGGGCGCCCTTCCCGACGGACTCGAGCTCGTCGAGGCGCTCGAAGGCGAGTATGGACCCGGCTTGCAGGCGCGCCGCTCGCACCTGCTCGTGCACGAGCCGCAGCGCCCTGCGGGCATCTCCGGGATCATTTCGCTCGTCGCCAATCGCGACCTTGAGCCGCTCGAGGTGCGTGTGCAGGTCGTACATGTAGGAGAGGGAGGGAAGGAGGGTGCACACCTCTCGTTGGTTCGCGGCCCCGAGCTTGCGGTGCAGCTCTGCGTGCACGGTGTCGCCCGCCGCCGCTGGTGCGTAGTGCAAGGTCCGCAGCTGCAGTCCGCGCTTCTGCTCAAAGGGGTTGTCGCTGTCGTAGTCGCAGGCAAGCTTGTGGCCGCCGAACAGCTCGCCGACAGCATCGTCGCGACCGACGCCGCCGCCGAGGCGGGGGGGGCCGCGGTGACCACCGCCGCCCACGTCGTCCTCCGACGAGTCGGCGTCGGAGTCTGGGAGGGTGGGAGGGTCGGGGCGCACCCGCTCGCGGTCCTTGGCCGCCTTGCCGCCCGCTCCGCCGCCGTCGCCGCCGCCACCGCCGCCTCCCGGTGGGGGGTCTTCCCCGTCGGGCTGGGCGGCTTGAGCCTCGAGCCGCTCGAGCCGCTTGCGAAGCACTCGTAGCTCCTAGGCCGAGTCCACAGGAGCGGGAGGCGCGGCTGGGGCCCCGTCGGTGCCCCCGCCAGCCCCCGAGGGGGGGGGCTCCGGCCCAGAGCCATCTTTTGCCTCTGCGTCTTGGTCAGCGTCGGAAGCGCGCTTTGGCGCGGATTTGCCCCTATCGTTGGGCGCACGGAGGGAAGGAGAGGTGGGCTCCTGCCCGAGAAGGTCGCGGGACCTGCGCAGAGCTCGCTCTGCGTGATGCCGCTCGAGCTTGGGCGTGCACGCAAGGGATCACGCGCAAGCCAGAAAAATCAAATGTTCTTAGCTTGTTGCCCCCCTCCGAGACTGGAGACAGAACCCACCCGTACACAGGAGAGATGGGACTGCCCCCCGCCCCCGCTTGCCCTGACTGCACAGGATAGCGTGCCCCAATCGGCGACACATAGCGGGGGACACTGCGCAAGGAGGGGGTGCGACGGCTTTCTTTGTCCTCTCGAGGGAATGTTCCGTCTCGGCGCCCATGGCCTTTTCTGAGGTTTCGTACTGATGACGTCCTTCTTGGCACTTCGGGCGTCGGTGTGTGTGTGTGTTCCCTCGGTAATGTGCTACGGGTATGGGCCGCCGGTTCGACGCTACCGGTCCACGAACATCTACTCTGTTGAGGTCGGCCGGTGGCACCTCGATGGTCGAGTGGCCTCCGGTTCGAAATCGGCGAGTTGACCCTTATATTTTTTCGATATATACTTTCACACCTGAGCGGGCTCAATTTTGCTCTGATGCCTCCTACGTATTCGAACTCAAGTTCTCGGGCAGGCGCCCGGTGCGTTGGTCGTGTTTCGTCACGGGAGTCACGCGCAAGCAAGAGCAAACAACGGGGAAGTTCACAGCTGAGCTTACCCGGCGCGAGCGGCGGCGCGGTGGGGTGGACATCGCGGGGAAAAGAATTCGCATCGTGCGTCTTGAGTCCTGGGTTGTGTTTTCGTGTGAAGCTCGTGCTCGGTGACAAGGCGAACGCCCTCAGACGACTTTCCATCTCATCAACGAGGGGCACGTCACCGACATGTGTGAGATCGGCAGATGATCGGCGGGGACCTGCAGTCCCAGCGCGATGTCCACTATGAAGTCAAGGTGCCTAGCGCCCTCACAAAGACGAGGCAGGCTGGGCAGGGCTCGGCGGCACACGGCGGATGCTGTGCGTCACTGGGCCACAAATTTGGTTTCGGCAGGGCTCGGCGGGTCAACCAAACCTTGCTCAAGGTTCTTGGGTGCAAAGAGCGCGGGCACAAGTCACAGGGCCCGCTCGTCCATGCGACCGGCAAAGGCTGGGTCAAAGAGCACAAGGGACAGTACTACGACGCGCTCCATGTCAAGAACGGAATCGTCAAGATTTGTCTCGTCGAAAGCCAGGCGGTATCGCGCCGCCAACCAAGAGAATCATCTTCAACTTCGCCAAAGAGGTCGGCAGCCCGAGCGCCGTCGACCGCACCGACTACGGCACAGCCTCCGGCAGCGCCCGGGGCTTCGTCCAGCACCACTCGCAACAGCTCTCGCGCGCCGCCGTCTGTGGCGACGCGCAGAACATCAACAACGCTGCTCGCAACATGCGTGTCGCGCACTCATTCATGACCGGTCTCAATGTCCCACCCCCCTGCGCGCGGGCCTTCTAGGCCCGCGGGTAGTCTCCCCCCATCCCCAGGGCCTCCAGGGCTCGCACCTCAACCTCTCACAGACCAGCGCATTCCCTGCGCGTATTTTCTTCTCATAACAAGGCTGTGAAGAGGGGTTGTTTGTGCCGTGTGGCTCCCACCTCCTCACTCACTACTCGCTCCAAAGCCCGCGGAACCTCTCGTGCCAACTGCGTGGCCACTCCACATCAGCAGGGTTGGAGCATGCAGCAAGGCTGGTACTGTCCCAACTGCTACGCGCCCAACCAGGATTTCATGCCGGCATGCGCTCGGTGCGGCAGCGGCAAGCCGTTGGCGTACCCGATGCAGCAGATGCAGCAGCAGCAGTCCATAAACCCCCAGCCCCCGCCCCCGCCGCCCCCGCTGCAGCAGCAGCACCACCAAATCGGTGGCTACCGGGATCCGCGCCAGCTCGGCTATGGCCAGGCGGCGCCACCGCTGGCACACCACCCGCTCGCTCAGCACAGGCCGCCGCCACCACTTCCCGGGCAGGCGCCTGCGCACATGCTCCACCGGCAGCAGTTTGCGCACCCCCGCGCCGGCGCGTACAGCCACGAGCAGCAGCTCTTCCGCGGAGGCTACGGCGGCGGCTCGCTCGGCCCGCCTCCGGCCTCTTATAGCGGCTTTGACTATAGCGCGGCGCAGCAGTACGATGACGGCCTCGACGCCGAGTACGCGCAGCCGCCCATGGCGGAGGTGCACTACGGGGGCGTCCCTGGCGGATACGGTGGCCACGTCGGCGCTCCCAGGCACGAGGGCGTGCACTACCGCCGCGACGGCGAGCTGGCTCGGCACGGCGGATCAGCAGAGGACGGCCTCTTCATCTCCGCGACAGAGGCGCAGTGGGCGATGCTGGTCGAGGCGGGCGCCACCTCGCTGCGGCGGCTCTTCCTCCTCATCGCCACCGAGTCCGACTACCGCGCCCAGCGGCCCGTCGGCGCGCCGCACGGAGCCGTCCTCAAGACGGCACGGAGTAGATGCGCCTCTCGCGTCGCAGTCCCGATTTGCAGTCGGGGCCACCGCGCTCGAGAGAGAGGGGAGGGAGAGGGGAGGAGTCGTGGCGCTCGAGAGGGTCGCCCTCGCGAGTAGGTGCTCTTCGCCTGGTGCCGCTCCGAGGGCCGCGGCGTCCACCTCTGCATCGACGAGGCGGTGGACGCGGGCTACGCCATCGAGGGAGGCTCCTACCCGCAGGAGTGGGTCACCGCGTGCGACGAGTGGCCGCCGAAGAGGGAGGCGCCGCCGCAGCAGCGGCCCTTCGTCGCGCCCGACAAGGACGACCTCGAGTCCTTCCCGGCGCTCGGGGCGGCCCCGCCGGCGCCGGCGCCCCCGTCGCCCCCCGCCGAGCCAGCCCGCCGCGCAGTGCAGGACGAGCCGCCGCAGGCCGCCCCGCAGGCAGAGGCGCGGCAGGCGGAGCCGCAGGCGCTCTTCAGCCTCGCCGGGGCGGGAGGGGTCAACCCGGACGCGCCCGAGTTCCACTGGGCGTGCGACGCGCAGCCGGCGTCGGCGCCGCCGCTCTGGGGTGAGCAGCAGCAGCAGCAGCAGCAGCAGCAGCAGCAGCAGCAGCAGCAGCAGCAGCAGCAGCAGCAGCAGCAGCAGCAGCAGCAGCAGAGTCCTGGTGGCTGGCTGCAGCGGAGTGGCGGCGCGGCCAGCGCGCAGGATGCGTCGGCGGAGCAGGAGCAGGCGCTGCTGCGCCAGATCCTCGGCGAGGCGGGCGGCGCGGGCGGCGACGGCGGCGCCGAGCTGCCCAAGCCGAGCGGCTGGGCAGCCATCGCCGCGAAGCCGGCGCTGCCTGTGCTCAGCCGGCCGCCCCCGGCGGCGCCGGCCGCTGCAGCGGAGCCGCTCTCGCTCGACGCGATCCCCGGCTGCCGCGTCTTCACGTCTTCGTCCGAGGTGGTTGTGCAGCTGCACCAGACCAACATCGTCACTCTCCACTCCAGCGGCACCGTCACGCTCAACTCCGGCGGTTGGCGGACGCACTCGACGCTCAAGGCGATGAACGCCGTGCTCGAGACGCTCTCGCCGCCCGCGCGGGTCGTCTCGGACGGCCCCCTCTCGCAGGGCGCGTGGCGCCTCTCCCAGCGGCCAGACTCGCCGCACGAGACGGAGCAGGTCGAGTTCCGCGACGGCATGACGCTCACCGCCGCCGCCCCGCCCAACCTCGGCTCGCGCGCCGCCGGAAACAGGGGCGCGCGCGGCGGTGCGCCGCCGCCAGACTACGTCTGCAGATTGTGCGGCGTGCCCGGCCACTGGCTCGACCGCTGCCCGCACAAGGGGGACCCGAAGGCAAACACTCCTGCCGCATCCGCACGGCTCGAGACGGCGCGGGGCTCACCCGAGATTGGCCGGTTGTATAGGCGCCTCCGCCGAACTACGTCTGCCGCCTCTGCGGCCGGCCCGGCCACTGGATCCACCTCTGCCCCTCGATCGGCGGACCCGGAGCGCCAAAGCCAGACGAGCAGCCGACCAGGCAAAAGGCGCAGCTGCGCACGGCGCCGCGCGCCGCGCACGTTCCCGCGCCCGCGCCCGCGCCTGCGCCCGATTCGCCCCCGCCCGCGCCGCCCGGCGCCGCAACGGCGGGCAGCGCCGAGGCGTCGGAAGAGCTGGTCGACTCGCTGCACGAGATGTGCGGCGCGACGCGCGAGCGCTGCCGCTCCGCCCTCAAGGCGTGCCGCGGCAACGTCAACGCGGCCGCCGAGCTGCTCCTCCACCAGGGGTTCGACGGAGAAGCCGCGCCGCCGACTGCGGCTCCGACCGCGGTGCCCGCCGCGCTCCCCGCCGCGCTCTCCGCCGCGGCTGCTGCGCCTTACGCCAACCCGCCGCTCCCAATGCCGGCACCTGCGGAGAGTGAGGCAGCCTACGCCGCTCTCCCCGCGTCGCTCGGCCTGGACCTCAGCAGCTTGTGGAGTGACGACCCTGCCCCGTCCGTCCCCGCGACGAGGCCGAGTGCCGACACGCCCTCCTTGCCGCCCCTCACGCCAGAGGAGCTCTCTGCCATGCTTTCGAGGCTCGAGCCGTGACCCGAAGCAGAGTTTACATATTCCGAGGCGCAAGCCTGTGCTGTCCCGCTCTCCCGGGGCGGGCGGCGGGCGCGCGCCCGCTCCTGAGTTGAGGTGTCCTATTTATGTGGGCGCGCGTCCGCTAAAATAAAATAAATAAAAACGGACACCTCTACTGTGAGATGGGTAAAGGAACAGGCCCCCGCCCGAGGCCCGTGCGCGATCAATTGTGCGGAGCCGGAGCGGGTACAGGGTTCTTTGTGGGCGCGTCCGCTGTTTTGTATGACAGTCTAAAATATATGTCTGCCTGCGCGAGCCCTGCCTCATGCGATAAAAATCGTATTATAATACGCATGAGAGAGTAGTTCCGTGGAGGAGCGAGGCCGGGGGGCCGCGGGCCGCGTCGAAAACCTCGAAATATGCCTCTCGCCTGGCGTGCGCCTTGGTCGTCGTCAGGGCCTCAGCGCCGGCTGGCCGTCTTCTTCTTTGTCCTCTGCAGCGACTGCGACGACGCGGACGTGCCGAGGGCGGGCGCGCCGAACGGTGTCGTCGTTGCCGGGGCGCCGAGGCCGCCGAACGGGTTTGCGGCCGGCGCCGCGGCGCCGAAAAGCCCGCCGGCCGCGGGGGCGGGCGCGGCGGGCGCGGCGCCGAAGGGCGAAACGGCCGGCGCGGCGAGCAGCCCGCCCCCGAGGCCGCCCAACGCGGGGGCGGGGGCTGCGGCGAACGGGTTGAGGGCGGCGGGCGCGGCGGGCGCTCCAGCGGCGGCAGCGGGCGGCGGCGCGGGAGGCGGCTGCTCAGGCGCTGCGAGCGGCATGGGAGGGTCGTCGGGCGGCTTGTACTTGTCGCGCAGCGCCTGGTGGCGCTTCCGCGCGGCGGCGAGCGGGTCGTACCCGAGTGCCTGGTTGGCGGCGCGGAGGAGGGTTGGCGGGAGGGGGGGCCGAGCCCCTGCTAGAGTGTGCTCCGAGCGTGCAGCCTGTAGAGAGTGCGGTCTCTCCGCGTGCTGTCTCTCAGCGTGCTGTCTCTCAGCGTGCTGCCCGGCCGCCTGGCGGAGCTTGCTGCGGTGCTCCTCCATCCGGACGTGCTGCGCGTGCAGCCGCGCGGCAGCCCGCTCGAAGAGGACACGCTGCGCCTCGAGCAGCTCCGCGAGCCCGCCCCCCCCCGCGCCTGCGTGGCTCGCCGGCGCAGGCGCGAGCGCCGCGTCGAGCTCCGCGATGTGCGCCTGAAGGGAGGCTCAGAGCTGGCTGTGAGTAAGGGCCGGAGAGGGCCCGGAGAAAGCCCTGTGGCGTCGAGCTCTGCGCCGTGCGCCTGCAGCGCCGCCGCCTCCTCCCCCATCGTCCGCAGCCGCGCCTCGAAGAAAGGCGAGGGCAGCGCCGGGGCGCGCGCCGCGAGGTCCCCGCGCGCAAGGTCGCGCTCCATCTGGTGGCCTGGCGGGGCAGGCGCGGTCCACGTGTGGCGTGCGAAGGTGGGGTGGGTGGGGGGGGGAGGGGATCCCGTGCTCGCCGCACCCTCAGAGACCGTGCGCTGCACCGCCTCCTTGTAGCCGACTAGGGCCTGCGGGTGCATGCCGCTGGACGTGTCACGGGACGTGTCACGGGGCTGTCGAGCCGCCTCCTTGCAGCTCGGCGGGGAGCCTGCGCGTCGAGCTGCGACCGCTGCTCGAGCAGCTCAGTCTCGCGGGCAGCCTCGGCGGCGAGCTTGTCCGCCGCGGCGATGTCGAGCGAGGCCGGTGCCGGGAACCGGTCCGCCACGGCGCGCCACTCGTGTATCTTCCGCTCCGTCGACGAGAGCCACTCCTGCGTCTCGCGAGGCAGCTGCTCGTACGTCGCATTCAGCCGCAGCAGCGACTGCGAGCCGGCGGCCGGCGCCGCGGGCGCGGGCGCCGCGGCCGCGCCCCCGAAGAGGGAGCCGCCGCCAAAGAGGCCGCCCGCCGCCGGCGCCGCCGCGGCCGGCGCTGGCGCCGCGCCGAACAGCGAGCCGCCTCCAAACAGGCCGCCTGCTGCCGGCTTTGTTGTGGCCGCGGTGCCGCCCGCAGCAGTCGCCGCCGGCGCTGCCGCGCCTAATATGAGCGCCCTCCACAAGTGAGATGTGCCCAATGGTCCGTGGGCAGCGCTGGTTGTGGGCTTGCCAAACAAGCCGCCGCCGCCTCCGAAGAGGCTGGTGGACGCTGCCGCCGGCGCAGCCGCTGGCGTCGCCGCACCGAAGAGCCCGCCCGCGGCCGGGGCCGCGCCGGGCGTAGCTGGCGTCGCGGCAAACGGGTTGCTCCCGGGTGCTGCGGCGCCGAAGGGTGTGGAGGTGGCCGCTGGAGCTGCCCCAAAGAGCCCGCCCGGCGTCGCGCCGGGCGTAGCTGGCGTCGCGGCGAACGGGTTGGCCGGCGCTGCGGCCGCGCCGAACATCGTGCACACCGGCACACCGCTAACAGCAACGCGGGCTTCTCTGCCTCGAGGTGGAAAAGAATTTAAACAAAAGAACTCTCTCTCACAGCAGACGCACAGCTCGGAGGTGCGAACTGGCGCGTGCTAGTACTATCACCGGCACACCACCGGAGCCGTGAAAAAGAATTCTGTGCATACTTAGCAGCAGTTATGGCGGCGTGCCCCTCCCATCCCTCCCTTGGTTTGCGTGTTTTCTTTCTTTTTTACGAGCTCCGTGCACCAACACTGGGCAGGGTTTTTGGCGCGCACTGGCACTAACACAGGTACACCACGGGAGCCGCCTAAGCGACTCCTGCGGAACGGCGAGGCACTTAGCTCCGTGCACTCAATGGGACAAGCACTCGGCGTGGGATTGCCTCTGCTCGTGGTGAGGTGACTACTGTTATCACCTTCTCACTCCATCCGTCCACCCAACAGAACAGCGAGTCCTTCGCACAAGCCTATGACGCCAAACTTGCTCACCCTTCGCAGGAGGCACTGGGCCATGCGTCCCGGCTCAGTCGGACAGATTGGCTGAAGTTTTGAGCCCACCCCCAGCCCACCGCTTGAACCTTAGTCCCCGACCCCACATCGACGCGAGGCCGAGGGCCCCACCTCGGCCATCCCAGGGAGAGCGGAGAGGGAGGGTTGCCCCCACACCTACGCTTTATCCGGGCGCATGATTTAGTCGTACTCTACTCACGAAGACGAGCGTGGGCGGCGCACGTGCGGCGTATACGCTAATGCGGGGCAACGGGCCGCGTCCCACGGGGGTGCACAATGCCCCTTCAATGGGGGCGTCTTCGCTCATTTTTACCTTAATTAATAAACACGAGAGGTGTCAACTAGAGCTGAACACTCTACTCTGAACAGTCCACAGGGTCTGCAGAGTGCAGTCAGGTCTCTTATTGCGGAGAGTGTCCGGTCATCTTTGATTTGTGATTTGAAGATCTGCTCGGCTCGCGTTTGGCGCCGCCCGCACTCATCTGCTGAAGGGTAATATACGCAATGGACAAACCCTACACTCTTGGCGCTCTAGATACACGTCGTGCTCTGTCAGCTGGCCGGCGCTGCAGAGAATTCAAGCGCACGTGCAGGTAGGAGCGCGTGCAGCTGGCGGAAGCGACCAACCTGTGCCACACGAGAGAGCCACACGTGAGAGGTTGTGGTTGGGACGTAGCCTCCCCTCCCTCAGGTCTGCCCAGCGCACCTCAGCGCCCGACTCGACTAAGCAAGTGACGAGCCCCTCCTTTCCTCGGCGCGCCGTGCGACCCGCGGAGTGCACAAAACCAGCGACGTCCTTGGGCATATCGAAGAGCAAGACATGCCGCAACCGCGGGAAGTCGAGTCCTCGTGCCGCCGCCGCAGTGCACACGAGTGCCCGCGCCTCACCAGAGGCGAAGCGAGCCACGGCCTCCGCGCTTCCCTCGGGGGCCGCCGCCCCCTCACACAACAGCGCGGCGCGGAGCTGCGGCATCTCCGCCACGAGGCGCCCCTATCGCGCAATCCTGTCACGCTCGCATCTCCACGGCAGGTGGCGCCTCCCTCAGGGTGCGCGCGCGTGGACAGCGGCGGCGGCGGCCGGCTCGCAGAAGATCATCGTGGTCCCTAAGAGAGGAGGCGTAGCCTCGTGGGGCTTGCGGGCTCGGAGGCTTGAGGCGAGGGGGTGGCGTCGCCGCCCTCGCGGAGCCACGGGTCGTCCTCCGCGCTGCGCAGCGCCGAGAGGAGGGCCGTCTAGAGACGCGGCACAGTAGCGTCACAAAGGCGAGGCGGCGTGGCGGCCAGAAGGAGGCCAAGGCAGAAGGAGGGCCACCTCGCGACTCGCGCCTGCGGCTCGCGCCTCCCGCAGTCAGTCAGAGGGGCAGGGTGGGCGGGGAGAGGGAGGAGGAGCGACGGCGCCGGGCCCCAGGTAGCGGAAGAGCTGGCGCAAGGTGGGGACCATCACCCCTCGCTGGCCGGCGGTGGAGTGCTCGCTGACGCGCACGGCGCGGCGGAAGCGGCGCGTGAGCGCGACCTCGTGCTCCGAGGTGAGGAAGGCCGTGGCGAGGAGGTGCTGTGTGCCGGCGGGGAGAGCGTCGAGGAGGGCGTCGGCGTCCGGCCGCAGGGCAGTGTCGTGCGGCCGTCCGCACAGGACGGCGTCCGCCTGTGGCGAGGGTTCGACGTCGGTCGCGAGGAGTGAAGGGCATCGGTTTCTGCCCCATCTCTGCCCATCTCTCGTGCGCCTCGTCGATGGCAACCGCTGCTAGCCGCGCCGCCCACTCACGCCCAGCGCCACCCGACGCTTCGAGGCGACGGCGCGCCCCAGCAGCTGTCGCGACCAGGAGCGAAGGGACGCGCGACGCATCCTCCAGCAGGCCGCCGACGCCAGTCAGCGAAGCGCCAGTGTCGCAGTCGAGCTCGACCGGAGGATCCAGGCCGGCCAGGAGGGTTCGCGCTGTCGCAGCATGCTGCTCGACGAGCACATCGCTCGGCGCGAGCAGCAGCGCCGTGCAGGCGGCGGAAGGCCTCTGCTCCACAGCTCGAGTCACGCTCTCGAGCAGCGGCAAGAGGAGGGCAAGCGTCTTGCCGGAGCCCGTTTGCGCCACGAGCAGCAGGTCCTATCGCGCGGCGAGCAAGCGATTCACTCACCAGGCGATCATCGAGGGCGGTCTGGCGACTCGCGCCTCGCCGCGCATGGCCGGCCGAAGCGCCTCGCACTGCATGGCGTTGGGCTCGAGCACCGAGAGCCGCGCTCGTACCGCCTTCGCGAGCGCGGGCCGCACGAAGTCGCGCCACCTCATGAGCCGGCCCTCGGCTGCCTCGCGGGCGTTTAGACAAGAGGCCGCCTGCGCACGTTTATTTTCGTCGATTGCCGCTGAAACCCTTCTGATCTAAGCTGCAGGCGCCGGCCTATGAACTCTATGCTTTGCGCATGCCATGGATTGTACGTACCGCACTCCGACGAGGGACGCGCGTGCGCCAGGGCGTGCGGACGGGGGAGACACGAGCTCAGCCTCCCCGCCCCTGCAACGATGGCGATAAATACCCCCCGAGGGGGGACGGAGACGCGGTCACGCCGAGGCGGTCGCCCACGTCTCGCTCTTGGCCTGTTTGGCCGGCCTGTCCTCGGGCTGCCGCTGCTGCTCCAGCTCGCGCACGCGCTTCTCGAGCTCCACGAGGCGCTGGACGAGGGCGGACACCTGGTACGTCACCGGGTCGTGCACCACGCCCGGGCGTGACGAGCCTGTCGTTGGCGTGCCGGTCGGGAGCACCGGCAAGGGCGAGCGCCATGTGCTGGAGCCGGCCTCCTTCTCCTTCTTCTCCGGCTTCGGGTTGCGTAGTCGCGTCTTGGCCACAAATGGCGGCGAGACGACGCTGAGGTTTGGGAACTCTTGCAGCGTCTCCTGCTCAACGTTGAGGAAGACGAGCAGCCGGAGCCGCTTGCCGAAATTGGACGAGATCATCCGCTTGCCCAGCCGCAGGCGAAAGAAGACCTGCCCGTCGGGCTGCACGTCCACCGGGCCCGCCTCGCGAAGCTCCACGCCGTCGGGGCCGACCAGCTGCACAAACTGCCGGTCCTCGTCGCTGAGCAGCCGGATGAGCGGCAGGCCGTCCTCGGTGACGAGCGCGACCGAGACCTTGTCCTTGGTGTACGGGATCGGCGTGTCGCTGCCGCTTGCGCGGGCCATGACGGAGACGTTCATCTCAAAGTACTTGAGGTTCGAGAGGATGTGCTCGCCGCGCACGTGCGACATCAGCGAGTCAATCTTGAGTACGATGGAGCCGTAGTCAGGAGCCGCGCTCGGCGCCGCCGGCGCCGGCACCAAGTCTATCGTGGACGGCTGGATCAAGTTCTTGATGCCGTCAACGGACCACCACAGGCGAGACGAGGTGATGCTCTCGAGCCTGTCGGGCGGCGCGGGAAGGAGCTCGTCCTCACCCTCGTCGTCGTCCAGCTGTGGGTGTTCTCCGACCGGAATCTGCACGAAGGGTGACATGGCGGAGACACTGCACGTGTCCCGGACGGGCTCGATTATCTCCAAGGAGCCGCTGACGCGCGTTTTGTTTTTGGTTTTTGTCAGTGCACCCCACTCCCGATCGAACATTCCCGAGGGTGAACTGCTGACAGGGTTAACATTCCCGAGGGTGAACTGCTCAAAGGGTTTGCGATGAGGAGCGATCCGAACGTGGCATTCGGGGGATCAGATTTTTTTGTTATTTTGCTTCTGCAGGCAAGAGAGAGAGCGAGGATCCGAGCACCAATAGCAGGCTGCCCAGCCTTGCTTGCCTTCGTGCCGCCGAGTGCGTATCCATGTGAGAGAGATCCCCTGTGCCCTGTGCCCAGCCGCAGCCCTCTCCGCGCCGCGATGTGCCCCCCCCCCCCCCCTCGACCCTCGTTGGCCTGTACACGTTTTTCTCGCCAAGTACGATCTATATTCGTTTTCCGTATTCTTTCCGTATTCTTGTCCAAAATAGGGCCTATATTCTCGAATATGACAAGAACACAGCTCCAAATAGGGTCTATATTCTCAAATACAGTGGGTTGCGGGCATTAAGAAAGCGTGGCATTAAGAAACCACGCCGAGCGATTCCCGCAAAGAATTAAGAAACCACGGCGCGCCGCAGGCGTGGCTCCGAGAAAAGGCAGACACCTAGGCAGACACGACGACACGAGTGTGAACAGACGACGGGAGCTCCCAGCTCAGCTCAAAATTTCTCGTCGCCTGCGGCGCGCGCACTTGGCATTGTGCAAGTCTGCGGTGTTCTGAGTGAGCGGTGTGGATGGAGGCGTGTGCGTCTTGAGTCGGTGGCATTCTGGAGACTGGCTGGCGGCATCGGATCCGGGACCGCAGCTCACCTTGGAGCACTTGGAGTGCAGTCAGTAACCTCACATCCAGGGCCGAGGAGCTCAGAAGCGCACCCAGCGGGCCGGATGATCGGTATCGGGTTGCGGGCAAGAGAGCCCTAGCCCCGGGGGTGCGCGTTCGCAGGGCAAGGGCTCTTCCCTTATTCTTATAAAAGGGCCGGCTCTGACCTTTGACCTACAATGCGAGGAGAGAGAGAGACGTACAATGCGAGAACACAACCCCCTCCACCTTTTTCTCCCAGTAAGCTAAACGTACGTACAATGCGAAGAGATCCACTCAGGATTTACCACCAGCCACCTCCGTTGCAACTGTATTGCGAGAGTAATAAGTAGCCGTTCTTAAAGCCTCCCCCGTCACTTAGATCTGGCAAAAGCGGTAATAGAAAAGCGAGCTTTTACTTCTTTTACTTTTCAAAGATAGGATCCGGTTCTTTGGCTGACTAAGCCCGAAAAACGACCAGGCGACCACTGTACATGCATTCGCCATGCGTGCTACTCTGCTCCAGTTGCTTGCCCCCACTTGTTACGCATTACCAACCCTGCATCCATCGCAATCGGCGGAGCTGCAGCAGCCGCAGGCTTCACCGCTGCAACTGCACGCTGCAACGGGAAGATCCCTCAGCTCGGCGTCTCCCGGCTCGTGCTTTCGCTACTGCTCCTGGAACTCCTATGAATGGACCACAAAGTGCGGATGGCCCAACTGTGTAGGTTGCGTGCAGTGCACCCTCTCACCGCCCCCGCCGCCTCCGGCATTCCCACCCATGGTGTTGCCGCCGCCGCCGCCGCTACCACCGCCACCGCCTCCGCTGCCCATGCACGTGGCCGTCGACGGGTGCCCAAATCCGTTGAACCCTGCCCATGTTGAAGTTCCGGATACAGCCCTTTTGGCTGCTCGCTGCTGCTTTGACGTTGTTGGTAGCGACGTCCCTTCCTGCGTGTCCAAGGTCGGTGGCCGGTGCCTGCCGCGCAGAGCCAAGTACGAGGACGCGGAGGCTGCGTGCGCGGACAATGGAATGCGGCTATGCACCGAGTCGGAGCTGATGGCTGATGTGTGCTGTGCCACTGGCTGCGGGTACGATGGAGTGCTTGTGTGGAGCTCCACAACTCCACCGCCGCCGCCAGTGCCGCCTCCGCCGCTGCCGCCGCAGCTGCCGCCGCTGCCTCCGGGCCCGCCACCATCCCCGCTCGCGCCTCCCTCGCCGCCGCCGCCCAAAATTTGCTCATACCCGAGCATTGAGGCGGAACGACAATACTGTGGCGACGGCGGTGCCACGGCCCTTGCTGCCGGCTTCGCGCCCGACCTCGCCACGTGCCAGCAGCGGTGCGAGAGTAGCAGCGGGTGCAGCTTTGTCTCCTACTTCACGACCAAATGGTGCCGCCTCACGGCGACCTGCGATACGGTGTGGACTGACAGAACAAGCGCGACGCACCACACGGTCAGCGTGTACACATGCACGGCACCGCCGCCACCGCCAAACTTCCTCCTCATCTACTCTGACGACCAGAGCTTTGAGGAGTTTGGCGCTTACGGCGGCGAAGTGCATACGCCCAACCTCGACAAGCTAGCCAACGAAGGCGTCAAGTTCATGGGGGGGCACGTGACGTCTACACTTTGCACACCAAGCAGGTGGAGTGTCCTAAACGGCCGTTTCGCTTCGCGCAGCAGCGACATACTCTCGCAGTACCCGGCGGGCGGCCCTGTCAGCATCGAGTGGAACACCTACCTCGTCCAAGGCGACCTGACGATAGCGACGGCGCTTCAAGACCACGGCTACCTCACGGGCGCGGTCGGCAAGTGGCATCTCGGCGCACCGCGGCTCATCTACCCGTACGACCCGAGCCCGGACTACCAAGACCACCCGTTCCTCGAGAAGCAAAACAACTTGACACGAGACCACTGCAGAGAGTTCGGCTTTACGGTGTGCGACCGCGTCTACCGCTCGAACGTCGGTGCCGTGGAGGTGAACAACGACATCCCATTTGAACTCAAGTACCACAACCTTGAGTGGGTGACGGGTGGCGCGCGAGACTTTCTGGAGCAAGCCGAGCAAGCCAAGCTGCCGTGGTTCCTCTACTACGCTTTCACGGCGCCGCACGGCCCTCCGATCAAGTTCAGCCTTGAGAAGAAGGAGTACGCATGGCTCCTCGCATGCACTCACTTTCACGCCCTCAAGATCCCCGCCTCTCAGCCCTCCGCCGGCCCCCCTTCCCGACCTCTTCTCTCTCTCTCCGCCCTCGCAGGTACATCACCCCGCTCGGCATCCTTTACGACGACATGAAGGACGCGCCGCAGGAGCACCTCCAGCCAAGACACACGGTCCGCGATCGCGCGCTGGCGGCCGGCATTGTCGACCGCGACATGCAGGCAACTGCCCACACTGGGTGAGCCAGCTCAGCGGCAAAGCTGAGCGTTCGACGCATGGAATCGCAGGCCATCACATGGATGGACGACGCTGTGGAGTCGCTGATGGCCAAGGTCGACGAGCTCGGCATGCGCGAGCAGACAATGACCATCTACATCTCAGACCACCAAGCGGACGTGATCGGAAAGGGCACCTGCTACTGGGCCACCAACGTGCCTTTCATTGTCAACTGGCCCGGAATTGTCGCGCCCGCTGTGGCCGGGACATCACTGCTCACCTACCACCTCGACGTCTTCCCAACGATCCTCGACTACGCAGGCGCGCAGCCTCCGCTTGCATCCGATCGTCTGTGGCCCCGACACATATCTCTGCCCGCCGGACACTAGGCATTGACGTCACGGCCGTTGAACCCCCTGAGGGCCCGACGAGAGTGCTGCTCGCCTGCGGGGGTGGCATCGCGGACCGAAAATGCGAAGGCATGCCGGAGAGGACCGCGTTATTGCACGAGAAATACGGCGTGCGCTGCTGCTCCGATAGCGCAAGAACCGTTACCATGGGCCCGGCCACCGAGAAAGCACCGACGTGGCCCAAGGGCGAGGGCTGCTCGGTGTGGGCAGAGTCGGATGACGGCCTCGGCCCCGGCGGGGTTGCCCAGTGTCGCAAGTCCTCGACGTATGCCGAGGCCGAGGCCGCCTGCCATGCAGCGGGCGCCCGCTTGTGCACTGCCCCAGAGATTCGCGCCGGCTGCACCCAAAGCACCGGATGCGCCTTGGACGGTGCGCTCGTCTGGACGAGCAACCTGACGTCGTCGACTCCCGACTCAGTCCAGCTCGACGGCAAGAGCCTCCGGCCCATCCTCGAGGGCGGGCCGGTCGACTCAGCGGGCGAGCCGGCTCCTTGGCTGTGGCGGATGTACATTCTTCTCGAAGTCTTCTACACGCGCGCGGTTGTGTCTTGGGACGGTTGGAAGTACTTGGCCAAGCGCTTCCCACCCGAAATTCAGGCGATCGCAGACCAGGGCATCCCGGTGGACCACCAGGGCCTTCCGCCCGGACACAGGCAGTATCTGCGCCTGTTTAAGGGCGAGCTTCCGGAGCACTACCCATTCTATCTAGACGACGACCAGCTCTACAAGATTTACGATGACCAGAATACATACCTAAACGAGACCATAAACTTGTACGACTCGACCGACCCAGCAGCTGTGGGGGCGCTGGCTCTGCTCGAGGAGGCAATGCGAGATGCGAGCGCGGCGCTGCCCCACACGTTCGGTGAGTTCGCATCATGATGACACACTGCCCGGCAGCGTTTCGTGAGCTCAGCTCTCCTCCAATTTGCGAGGACAGCCGACGTGTACACTGTAGTCACTACTTCGGCGCTCTCACGCCATACTTTTGAGTCACTTGACACTTGACCCCTTTTTCCACTCCCGCTCGAGGGGGAAGAAATGAGCACACTCCGCCACTCCCGTCTCCGCGCCCGGCCCGGGTAATGGCTCCAATGGCTTTTTCGTTCTGGTTCTGGGGGGCTTGAGCACTTGAGCACTGGATACAAGGGTCGATTCCGCATGGTACATGGTACGGGACCCCTCGATCGTCTCGCCCTCCCTCACTGGTGTGTTCATTGGGGGGGGTCATAACAAACACGGTACCGGAGGTCGAGGTGCACGCTGCTGAAGCAGTGTCGCCCCCCCTCTCCATCATGTGTGGCTTGTATCCTTGTACAAAAAAGAGTCTAGATAGACTAGAATGCCGCGCGCGAATATGTGACACATATGTGCGCGACACACGTACGTCAGTGTCACGAGTGGCGGTGAGCTCGGGAGACTAGATGAGGTCAGAGAAATTCGGGGAGCTCGAGTCTTCTCTCTCATGCCATGGACGACTACTCTTTCAACCCCCAACATGTCAATACCGGGTAGAGAGAACCAAGAGCGGGCGACGAGCTAGGATGCATAGGTGGAGGGCTACCGGGAGCTCGCTACAACATGGTGCTCACCGAGCTTCCAGACTGGACGAGGGACTGGCCACGACCGACACTGCCTTTGCTACCCTTGGGCGGCTGCGAGGTTCCCCTCATTTCGGCTGCGAGGTCGGCCTCATCCATCGTCGCCCACCTGTGCCCCCCCGGGATGACCTGCCTCTTATTGCCGTCGAGTGCCGACGCCTCGAGCTTACTGGCGACTGTCATCCCAGCCGGTATGCCGATTAGGGTCACCGGACAGAGCAGGAAGTACGAGAGGAGCACGCCCGAGGAGAGGGTGAGGCATGTGGGTGGCTCGACGAGGTCGCCGAAATGCTTCTCGAGCACCGCCCCAGCCGCCTCGCACATGCCCACACTCATCTCGCCGACGATTTGCTGTGCGATCGAGTCGAGCTGCATCAACGAGAGGATCATGCAGACCAGATACACCTCGAGGGCCGAGAAGGAGAAGCAGATGTTGAGCACCAAGCCGAGGATATGCCGCGCAGTGGGCGTCAGCGGCACAACCCAGCAGAAGAATGCGAGCGTGTACCACAGCAGGGGCGCCCCCATGATCATGACAAAGTAGGCGTAGCAGTAGGCCTCCATCAGCCAGCCGAAGGAGGCGGGCGAGGCAGTTCTCAGGCCTAGCCCGCTGTCAATGACGGAGTAGTCCTCTGTTGCGGCGTCACCGAGCACGACTCCAAGGAGCCCGCCCTTTGAGAGGCGAAAGACAGGGAGGAAGCACGCGCCTGCGGTGACGCCGAGCGCAACCAGCAGCGACAGCGATACGAACAGGTTGGTCCAGATGCCAGTGCGCCCGCAGATTGTGCTGCAGCCCCGAAAGGTCTCAGGCACGCTCACCTTTGCGCCCTGGTTCCGCTTCGTTCGCGGCGTGCGGGCGCACGGATGGGATGGCGGCAGCGCGACAGTCTTGTGCATGTGGAAGGCGAGGGCGGTCGGGACAAAGGAGATGACGACCGCGAGCATAAAGTACGAGATGCCCTCTGTCGGCATCACCTCCACCATCACCGAGGCGGCCGGCGGCCCGGAATCCAACTCGGGGTCTAGTGGTGCGGGGGGGGATGGTGGAATGGTGAAGTCCATCTTCATCGCGGCCATCAGGATGAAGATCATCAGCGAATCAATGTTCGACCACTTGCCCATGGCCTCGAAGAAAGCGAGCAGGAACCCGCGCCGCTTGACGGGCAGCACCGAAGGTGGCGCCCAGAGGCAAAAGACGGTGGTCGTGAGCTTGACGGTGGGCCAGATTCCCGAGAAGACGACGATAAAGGACTGTGGGACGGTGATCCACGCGGGCGATGGTCAGCGAGGCGGCCGCGCTACCATTGGCTTGGGTTCTCTATGTAGGGGGGGGGAGGGGGAGTTGGGAGGGGGGCACTGGGGGGGGGGGGGGGGGGTACCGAGAGGACGTAGCCGAGACCGCCAGTCAGCCAGAACCGGATCACCGACGAAGGGAGGCCCATGCCAAACGCGTTGAGCGGAGGAAGCGGCGCACCGGCGACATCAACGGTGGCGCGCACCACGGCTCCGTTTAAGAACGGAGCGTTGGAGTAGGCGAAGAGCAGCGCGTTGGCAAGCATAAAGATTGTTAGGGACCATGTGATACAGGGGTGGTAGTAGGCGGCGATTGGCAGCTCCGCCTGCCCTCCCTTGGTGCGGCCGCCTCTGCAGCGGCAGAGACAGTAGCAGAGAAAGTGCCCGCCGATGATCAAAGCACTGATGCCGTACGCAGCGGCGTAGACACTGATCGAGACGATTTTCTCCGCCGCAGGGATCCAATCCTCTTCCTCGGGAGACGGCGGCGGCGGGCCGTTGACGCAGATGTCGCGCGCCATCTCGAGCCCAACGACTATCCCGTCGTTGACCGCACCAAGAGTACCAGGCAGAATGGCGGCCATGAGGTCACCGATGAAGTCACTCCCGATCGTCGCTGGGGTCGTGAGGCTATTTGCCGTCAGCGCGATTTCGAACATCACGTCGCTGCCGCTGAGCGAGTCGAGGTGCAGTCCAACGAGTGGGGTCAGCAAGCACGGTGTGGCGAGGTCGGCGAGAGAGAGTGCGCCAAGCGCATCAGCTGCCACAAGAACTTGCTGAGCCGCCTCCGCCGTGAGGCTTATTGCAGTGATGTTGATGAACAGCAAGAGGTCCTCACCTAAAGGAGGACAGCAGGGTGGTCTTACAGGACGAGGCGAGAGGCAAGCCGGGCAAGATGCGGAGCCGAGCACCCAAAAGCGACACGCGCACTGCCACCGAAGCGCGCAGGGGCTCGAGAGCGTCGATAGTCATGCCAGCAGAGGTCACAAGGAGCGTGGAGGAGAGCATCTTGGGCACCAAGTGCTCGGGTACGATAGCGTTCAGGTTCTGAGAGAAGTCGGAGGTCGTGAACAGGTTCTTTTCTGGTGGCGCGCCGAGCGCCAAGCGCCTGCTCCGGCCAGTTGGGGTTGATGGTCCTCGAGACAAGGGCGCATATTTCCAAGCGGGTGGGACGAATCCATCAGCGACGAGGCGTTCGGCGACGCCAAATATGAGCTCTCGGCTGTAGATCGGGTACACCATATCCTCTCCGTTCAAGCTGGGCCCTGCTCTGGAGGCGAGCAGCAGCGATACCTCGCTAAGCGACGCGAGGCCCGACACGAAGACGTCGCTCACGCCAATCTCGATCGGCGTCGGCTCTGCGAGCGGCGCCGTCACCACCAGACTCACCAGTTCCCCCGGCAGGCTGATGCTGTCGATACCAAGAGTCCGCATAGCCAGATTGGCCCGCGCCGCGTGTTCGGCCGCGGTCTCATTGTCAGCCGCAGCTGCGCCCTCCAGCATCGACGTGCGATCGGGCAGATTCGCCCACGCCCCTGAGAAGCCGCGCGGGGCGACGCCGGCTCCGCAGCCGTCAAGATTGACCCCTGCGATCGCACTTGCGAGCATGTTGAGCCCTGGCCCGCCAAGAGCGGCATCGATGGCGTCAGCGATCGCGCCAGGAAGGGAGGCGCCTGCGAAGAGTTGAACGGCGTAGCCTGCTGTCGCGAGTGCCGCCGCCCCCAGTGTGCCGTCGCCGTCGGCGGTGTGCGGGTAGGCGTAGCCGATCTCCACATCGCCGGGCGACAGGCGAAGCGCAAGATGGCGAGGCTCGAAGCCAATGACGGCGAGGGCGCACTCTGGCCGCTCCGCCAGCCGGGCGAGGCTGATCGCTTCCATGGCGGCCTCGTCGGGCGAGATGGCGAAGAGCGCCTCGACGTAAGTGTCGCGGATCTCGACGTCGGCCACAAGCTCTTGCACGAGCGGCGGCACTTGGCAGCAGAAGCGGTAACACGCCGTCCCGTCATCCGTTGCCTCATTCTGCGCGTCAGACTCGTAGTCGAAGGGGCACTTGTGCTCGGCGATCCACGCGCATCCGTTGCAGCCCTCGCTCGGCTCCTCGGCAGGGATGGGCGTGAGGGTGAGCTTGAGCGCGGCGTGCGCCTTGAGCGACGGCAGTCGGGCTGCGACACGGACGGAGCGCGCGTCCACCAGGGCGGCCGAGGTGTTTTCAAAGTGATCGAGGCCTCGCAGCGAGAGCGCCGAGAATTCGACGGAGCCCGTGCCGAGAGGGCCGGCGGAGAATGTCGGAATTTCAGGCAGATGCGAGGCGAGGTCGATCCTGTCGGGCGCCTCGGTCGCGTCGAGGGCGGGGGGTGGCTCGACAGTCATCACGGCGACGACACGCATCAGCCGGCTCAGCGCCTCGCTCACGACGGCCTAGGGAGAGGCAACCGTGGGTGAGCACATGGCTTGCGGGTTGCCTTTGGGCGGCCGGTGTGCGAGAGCCTCGTTCGAGATGGTGTCGTTGAGCCACGAGAGGGCGGGGTCGAGGCCGCCCTCGCCTGCCCAGCTGAAGCCACCTGGCCCCTTGGGCCCTTCGGGCTCCGGCGGCGGTCGGTCGGCGATCATCTCGGTCAGCTGCAGCTCGACATCTGTGAGCGCCGGGTCGACGTCCTCTGTGATCATGAGCGCGACCTCCGACTCGATCATGTTTGCGATGAGGCCGGAGAGGATGCCGATGGCCCCGTTGGCAATGCCAGATCCAAAGCCGACGTTGATGTTGATGGCGCTCATTGGGATTGAGAGGTCGCCTTTCATCAAGTTGATGCCCGCCGGCAAGCCGCTCTCTCCTTGCGGCTCAAGCGAGAGCAAAAAGTCGCCAGCAATGCCATCAATGACGACGGAGAGGTCCGAGAGGGGCGTCAGGAGGGGCGAGGCGAGGCCACGGAGAATGTTCACCGTGCCCTCGGTCATTCGTATCCTCACCGCATCCGCCTCGTCCGAGGGTCCCGCAATGACATCGAGCTTGCCTATCGCGCAGCGCAGACCGGCGGCGGAGAAGGAGAGGGCGAGCTGCGGAGGCACGTCGGACGAGATGGAGCTGGCCAGATCGTGCACAAAGATGCGGTAGCAGTCCGCTTGCTCCACCTTTACCGTCACAGAGGTCGGGTTCTCTTTGCGGCTCGAGAGCTCCAGCGTGGCAGCCTCGATCTGGAAGGCAGTACTGTACAGGTAGCCGCCCAAGGAGTCGATGGTCGGTGCCACATGGCGTGGCAGAGAGGACTCGGACGCCACGACAGCTCGCAGCGCTACCGCCAAGACCAGCCATCGCATCCCAGCGCGACTCTGGCGGCGGACGTCGCTCGCGCGAGGATGTGCAACAACGCGAGGGGACGCACCCCCGACGGCAAAAGTTCCATCCATGCCCATTTGCAGGGATATACCGTGACAGAAAAGAGAAAAACAAGATCTCATCCAAGCCTTGAGGCACGCACGTTAAGTTGAGACAAGAGAGACACTCTCGTTGATAGGTGGGTTGAGACACACACTTGAGGCGGGTTCGGTGCACCTGCTGCGGCTTGCAGGCGCCGCGGGCCGATTGCGGGCAGGGGGCGTCCCTTGGGGTGTGAAGATACGACGTATTTTCTTCTCATAACAAGGCTGTGAACGGATTCAGGCTGCAACCACCCCTTCCTCATCAGGGAACCCGTATCGAGTTGTGTGACCGCCACGGGCCAGACGAGGGCAGAGCATCATGGGTGGGCGCTGCTCCCGCTTCCCCCGCCCTCCCCGCCGCCGCCCGCCGCCCCCGCATCGCGACATCACCCCCCGGGCCTCCGCCCGCCGGACCTCCGCGCGCTCCCGCCACCCACCGGACCGGCCGTCCGGGCGCAGGGTCGCGCGTGTACGTCGGCAACCTCTCGTGGCACACGTCGTGGCAGTCGCTCAAGGACCACTTCCGGCAGGCGGGCGAGGTGGTGCACGCGGACGTGATGCAGCACGACGGCCGCTCCAAGGGCTGCGGCATCGTCGCCTTCGCCACGGCGCAGGAGGCGGCCAACGCGATTGCGACGCTCGGCGAGACGGAGCTGGACGGCCGCACCATCTTCGTGCGCGAGGACCGGGAGGAGGCGGCGCCGCGTGGCCTGCCGGCGCCGGGGACACGGGCGCCGGCACCGGCCGGAAAGTTCTACGGCGGCGGGCTGCCCGCCCCACGCAGCCCCGCACTTGCCGGCGGCGCAGCCGCCGGCGGCTCGCGCGTGTACGTCGGCAACCTCTCGTGGCACACGTCGTGGCAGTCGCTCAAGGACCACTTCCGGCAGGCGGGCGAGGTGGTGCACGCGGACGTGATGCAGCACGACGGCCGCTCCAAGGGCTGCGGCATCGTCGCCTTCGCCACGGCGCAGGAGGCGGCCAACGCGATTGCGACGCTCGGCGAGACGGAGCTGGACGGCCGCACCATCTTCGTGCGCGAGGACCGGGAGGCGGCGGCGCCGCGTGGCCTGCCGGCGCCGGGGACCCACACCAACGCGCCCCACATGGGCGGCTTCAACGGCCTCCCTCCTCCGCGGGCGGTCCGGGCTGTGGGCGCTGCCGCTGCGGCTCCGCCCGGGGGGAGCGAGACGCGCGTGTACGTCGGCAACCTCTCGTGGCACACGTCGTGGCAGTCGCTCAAGGACCACTTCCGGCAGGCGGGCGAGGTCGTGCACGCGGACGTGATGCAGCACGACGGCCGCTCCAAGGGCTGCGGCATCGTCGCCTTCGCCACGGCGCAGGAGGCGGCCAACGCGATTGCGACGCTCGGCGAGACGGAGCTGGACGGCCGCACCATCTTCGTGCGCGAGGACCGGGAGGCGGCACCGCCCACGGCGGGCTCGGGCGGCCGCGCCCGGGCCGGCACCGTCCAGACCTCCGGCTGCCAGGCGCGCGCTACCCCCCGCGCGCGAGAGAGCGCGCTCGCTGAGGGGGTGCTGAGGGGGTGCTGAGGGGGTGCTGAGGGGGTGCTGACGGGGTGCTGAGGGGGTGCTGAGGGGGTGCTGACGGGGTGCTGAGGGGGTGCTGAGGGGGTGCTGAGGGGGTGCTGACGGGGTG